TTTACATTGATCACACCTGGGTCGATGCTGGACGTCATCTCCACGTGAGGCTCGTCCCTTGTTCCTGTGAGCAGAAGGATATTTCAAACGAGGGCGTGACCTCACCTAAGTTGGATTGTCAGTTTTTCCACCGAGGCTTTCCTCTCGTCTGCGGTGGTTTGGGTTCTCTGCAGAACGTCTCGGAGTTCCCGCAGCTGCTCCAGAGTCTCGGTCAGCTCGGTGCGCACCGCCTGCAGCTGTCCCTCCAGGACCTGCAGTCGCTGGGAGACGTTGCTCGTGTCGGCCTCACAACGGTGCAGCTGCTCCTCCAGGTCCATCACTGGAGGGGCAAGAAGGAAACATTACTTTATGCACATATATGCAGTTTTTAAAGCAAGCGCAAACCCACTAGAAGTAAGGAATATACTTCCTTCCCATGCTAGTAGATAAGTATGTTTTTCTTCTAGTGTTTCACCTTCAGAGTCATAAATGCCCCAGAAAGGAGGGTTAGTAAAGGACAATGGTCCTTTCTTATTAAGTGTCTCTTTCATTCCCTTAAACCAGAGTTGCCGATTGTTGGAGCAGTGAGAGACTCAGAGCTGTTTGGTTGAGTTTTATTTTGGTTCTGTGGAGCTTGAATTGTGAACCGTGAGATAAAATGACAGTTTTTCACAATGGATTCTGGTGACTGTGAGGAAAGTATATCATGGGAATAGGATATTAAGAACGGTTTGATGAGTTGTATTTATAATGATATGATAGTTTGAATGAAGTGTGTGACACGATGATTATGGAGGTAAAATGGATGTTTCTGTCAATGGAGTCTGGTGGCTTTGGGCACAGCCCATAACAGTTTCTTTTCACATCTAACTTAATTAAATAAAAATGTATTTAAACCAAACCAGAGTTTGAGATTGTTAGAAAAGTGTAGAGACAAATAAATGTGGTTTTATTGAGTTGTATTTTCGCTTCTCTTGAGTTTGTGTTTGACACGATGAACAGTGTGTTCAAATACTGTTTCTGTCCAAGGAACCTGGTGGCTTTGGGCACAGCTGTTTCTTTTCACATTTTACTCTGCCGATAAGATTTGTTTAACTCACCAGAAAAGGAGATTGTTGTGTAAAGACATTTGAAATACGAACAAAGATAGTTTTCATTTGTTTAATTGTATTCCCTGAGAACTTTAAATGAAGTGTGTTTCATCATTATCAGAGAATGCCTATCTCTTGAGTCTGGTAGCTTAGTGGAGAGAGTAATGACTGTGTGTCTTGTGTGGTTATAACATGTCATTATTATCCAAATCCCTGTCAATTGATTTATTAGGTATATCACTTCAAAGCGCGTCATTATAGCCTTGTGATGTAAAAAGGACATTTAGCGTGTAAGTTCCATCACTGAGCGTATCCCTTTCCTACCATGACTGTAGCCGAGTCACTTGTCCCGGGAATGAATGCTGATTGTAACATTTCCAACTACAGACAAACGCCTGATGTTAGTGGCTTTTTGTCCAGTGGGAAAGTAGGTCCGTTCTACTGATTTAAAAACCAGAGCCGTGTCTGCTTGTACGGTCTCTTCCCTGAAAAATAAAAACATGTCAAAACGTACCCATGTCACTCTTGCTGTTGAGCAGGCTCCTCAGCTGCTGCAGGCTTTCGTCCAGGCAGCTGATCTGAGAAGTCTTGACGGTGACATCCCTCTGCAGGCGATGCAGCTCCGAATCTTTAGAAACCAGCTCCCCTCGACACTTTACCACCTCTGATTTCAGATGGCTGCAGTAAGCACAAAGAGGAAGCACATACAAACAACCATCAGTGGGTTTGTACAGCAAACAAAAGACGTAAATACTATTTTTGGACAAAAAGCTGCTGTAAAGGGAAGAAAATAAGACCTATGAAGCCTAAAGCAGTATGCACGAGGCATTGCTCCTGCGGCGACATGTTTCCTCACCTCACTGTAAGCATGGCCCCCATCGTAGACCTAAAGGAAGGAAAACCCCTTAGAAACTGTTAAGTGAGCAATGCAAACATGCCCTCTGATGCCGTGTTTAAACCACCATTCAAAAGGTCACAAAAAGAGAAATAACCAGCAGAACTATGGATGAGATAACTCCACAAACACCAGGCTTCTATCTCAGTTTCAAACTAACATCTCAATTGATATGTTTAAGGGTGAGAGGAGCAGGGAGGGAGGGCTGCTTCATGCCTGCAGACAAATGGGATGTGGTGTAATCATAAGACTGTCCCACAGACTGCTGAGGCGTTTGATTGCCTTTGCTGCGGGTCAAGAAGAACAGCACGCAAAAAACATTCTGTTAAAAATAGCAACAAACAAAAGCCCCACACAAAGAGTGCTGGGAAATACACTCAGCACTACAAGTGTGTACCTTCAGGCTATTTCTTTTTCTTTCTTAAAATAGAAAAGAGACTACATTTTGATTTTTCCAACAAAAATAAGTGAAAGGAACATTGTATGCTTTAAGTGGCGAGGAGCAGGGCGTCATTGTATTCTTGGTCAAATACTATGATGCTGCTAGAAAAAACACAACGGATGGAATAGATAAGACTAATGTTGCCCTATAATGCTCATGTTCAGATCAGTATGTAGTGTCTCTACATGTCTCCATGCTTTAATGTTCAAAACGCTCTTTATCTCTCTCACACTGCCTGTGCTGCAGCACCTCTTTTCACCCTCTGTCTGAAACCAGAGCCCAGTCTGCTCTGATGACCGCTTAGAGTGGTACCGCCCCTTAGCCTATCACGAACAATGGGGAAGAGAAAACACTAAAAAGCAGAATACCGCTGAATGACTGTTTCTGATGACAGCTGATCAGACTTTTGACAGTTTGTTTCCGCACTCATGTACCCTGTGCTAATACCAATACATGCTAACAGTAATTGTAACATCAGTAGCAGCAGTCTGTTACTTGTTTAACAAAAACCTGCACACAAATAACACCCTGCATTATCTCTTTATACTGGGTCCTGCATGTTTGAGACCCAAGAACCATTTCTACTGACAGAATGCATATACAGCAGGGGTAGCCAACACGGTGCCCGCGGGCACTCAGTCGCCCGCCGGGGCAACGTGAGGCGCCCGCCGGGGCAACGTGAGTCGCCCGCGGGGCATGTTCTAAAAATAGCTCGCCAAGCAAATCCAAAATGTATAAAATACACAAAACAAAAAAGGAAATGTAATTAAAAGAATCTACCCTATGCATAAACGAAACCTAAATCATAGCTAACTCTATCTACTTACTACAACTCTATATCTATCTAACACCCCTCCTCCCCCCACCCCCACAATGAATATCGACCAATCACGTTCTTGCTTGATTTGCAGGACCAGCGTTGCAGTCAGGAAGAAAAGCAATGTGGCACCTCCCCGTGATTTTCCTTCTGGCAGAATCTACACAACACATCAGCCCCATTGAACAGCCTATCGTGCAGCCTATACAGCACATGAGGGGCAGAGTTTTACTGTGTGTGTTGCAACTTGCATATTTATTTATTCCACTTGACGCACACACACGCATGGCGTATTCTCCAGGGGGGACAGGGGGGACATGTCCCCCGCTCTTTTCGAAATCCTGTTTGTGTCCCCCCACATTACAAATATGTTTATTATTATTTTTTAACGCCGTTAAGCCGTCATCGCCATGGAGGAGCACACAGCCTGTGTGTGTGTGTGTGTGTGTGTGTGTGTGAGAGCACCCCTTTTTCTATTTAATATAGATAAAGTAAGAAATCATTCCAGTGTGTACTATAGGACAGTACAAAAAACAGTAAACAGTGTAAAAGGGGAGTGATTAGTAAAATATGCATAAATAAAAAGAAAGAATGCTAACTGGGTAACATAAGATAAGAATAAACAAGTTTAAATGATTTGTTATTGGTTGTGATCATATTCTAAAGATGTTTGGATCATTGAAAGGTATACAGCTCCCTTTCATCTGAGTGTTGAGAGCTGTATCCATAAATTCATTTTGTGCTCATAGTGCACCAGATTGATGCATTTCACTTCAACATTTAAAAAAAAAATGTTCCCGGGGGAGCATGCCCCCGGACCCCCCTAGAGGAGGTGAGGACCCCCCTAGAGGAGGTGAGGTCCACCCCCAAAATTAAGCAGGTTAAAATAATTAAATTGCATACATGTTCTTTTAGTAAACACTGAAAACGGGTCCCACAGACCCAAACAGCACACAAAGGTTAAAGGTCAGCATATAATAATGTTAAAATGTGCTAAATATATACACTGCAAAAAACAAAAAAAGAGGAGTAAAAGTAGCTCACGACTTGTTTTATTTTTTTAAAGTAGCCCTCACCCTAAAAAAGGTTGGTGACCCCTGATATACAGTATATGCCTGTTTAGACTTTATTGATGACAGTGTTGAAAGGGCGCTATAGAGGGCATGAAATGCGTCAATTCTAACCTACGTCAGTACATGGGCCGCAAGATCTAACCACTGTGCTATGGGGCGGCCTGATTGTGATCTCTTTTGAACACCGGAAAATATTTATTTAGCTTAATGTTTCAGGGAAAGCGGAAATGTACTCCTGTAAACTGACACTTAGGATTTATCTAATTATAAGAATGAATGGAAATGATGATGTATTGATGTTTTGCTGACAAACTTTCACACTCACTCTGAGAGACGTTTTTCATGTTTGTACAGGTTGTACTAACAAGACGGACAGTGTCAAAAGAGTGAAATAAAATAAAGTAACTTAGTGGTCCCATGATTCTGCATCTTAACCACATCTCGTCCCTGTGTGGTGTGTGGGGGTGTGTGTGTGTGTGTGTGTGTGGTGTGTGTGTGTGTGTGTGTGTGTGTGTGTGTGTGTGTGTGTGTGTGTGTGTGTGTGTGTGTGTGTGCTCTTCTCACCCCACACTCTCTGCCAGCTGTGTGTTCTGCTGGGTGACCTCCTGCAGCTCCCCCTCTCTCCTCTGGACGTCCTGCTCCCTGCTCCTCAACTCGCCCTGCAGAGACGCCCGGGCCCGCTCCAGCTGCTGCTCCACACTGGACACCTGCACACAAACCACATTTATTGCAGCCATTATTCACTGTTCTATTGTACCAAACTGGAGAGATCTAAGGACTGAAATGAAGAAAGACAATAAAGAAACCCTGGCCCAAAAAATTCATTATTTTAAAGTAACATTGTCTTGCTTACAAAGACCTACGGAAAGAGCATTAAAATTAAACATTTGGATTATTTTGCATTTGTTTTGAATTGTCAGTATTATGCGCTTAACCTAATAGTTTGATTTATTCTGACCATGTATTTATTCTCGACGTCTTTGTTCTCAAAAAGGGTGTATCAAATGTATTTGTAATTTTTTTACTTATTTTCCACATTTTATCTTTATTAAAACACTTTGACTTACAATTTTAATATTGTTATTTCAACTCTACTCGGAATGGTATTCAAACTTTTTCTCAATATTTCCTTCAGCTTCAACCGCAAAACGGAAAATAAATCCTGCTTCTTGTTTTTTTTTACTTCATGTCTTACCCTTCTGTTTAGGCCTGACTCGTAATCAGAACAGAGATGAACACGGTCTCATCCTTTAGGCCAGGGGTTCCCAACCTTTTTCCACGAGAGCCCCCCCAAATTACTGGAGGTTGCGCGAGGGGGGGCAACAGACAAGGCAACAGCGGTAATTAAAGTTTCAAAGTCTCAAAATGCTACTGTAACAAACTGGATGAATGTGAAGTATGTTGTTAAAGGAGGATGAAAGCGTAATTAAGGAGCACTATTGGAGTGACTTTGATGGTTATTGGACTCAGGATTCATTCATTTGGATTCCCGCTGTATGAAGAAATGAAAGGACGGCGCAAGTGGAAACAATTCACAAAGGGATTAAACTGTTTAAAACACATGCTCAAAGTAAACCGGATTTTGCCGATGTGTTTATGTGGATTCAAAAGTCGTAAATAATCTACAAAATGGAGGAGACCGATCTGATCGGAGCAGCTGTGACAAATAATCAAACTGGAACCAGCATGGACAATGACTGTTTTAAAAATGCGCTTATCCAGAAAAGCCCGGTTTGGACACTTTACGGGCAGAAGAAACATTTCTAGAAATAATTATACATTTCTGTCTTTTTATGCCTATATTAGCTACTAACTTGAATTTTTATTAAAAATTAATTAATACATTATTTTTTATACTTTATTGTAATGTAGAGACAAGGCTTTTAGCGACAATCATGTATTGTGTAACAATTATATGTAAATTAATTCATTTTAAAAAGTCTAAATATGATATTAGGCCTCAAATCATCTGAGGCCTGGCGCACCCCCTGCGATCTTTGGCGCCCCCCCGGTTGGGAAACACTGCTTTAGGCAATCTGTTGTCTAGTGTGTTAGCAGGGTCCCTCTTCTCTACAGAGAGGCTCCACATGACTCTCCCTGAGCTCACTGAATGGAGACTGTTGTCCTCTGTTTGCTGTGAAGGACAGAAAGTACAACCAGCTCCTAAAATGTGCTGAGCTGGAAAATAAATCTCATGCTAACACAGATATATTCTTTCAAGCAATGACAGTGATTCAGTTACAGTTTTTATCAGTGAACTTAATGCTACAAAATAGAATAGACATTTGCATTAATCTGCTGCTCTCTGTGAACGTCTGTCACCTTATGTCATTAAATAAAAAGCATTTTGCAGTATTTCTGTCACCCTCTAAAGATGGCCAACTGGAAGCCTTGAACAAATCATTAAAAACCAAGATAAAAACACTTAATAACAGTTCATTAATCACGTGCATTGATCTTACATTTTCAGAGAAACAAGCCTCTGGAGAAACACTAACTAAAGGGGAAAGTGCTTCATTTATTTTTGAAATAGAAGAACATTCAAAGGCTCTATTGTCATCTGCACAATAGCAGAAGGAGTCATGTGATCACATTTTTTAAATAAGCCAATAAAACTTCCATATTAGGTAGGTTTCCAGTGACAGCTTGTTCACGTTTTGGCCAGCATACTAGGCACCTCGAACAATGCAATATAGAATATAATTGAGACGTAAAAATACATTTTTTTAAATGCAAGAAGAAATAGAAATGCAAAAATGTAAAAGAATGACTCTATGGTGCATTGCTTTTGACGAGGAGCCTTCTTTGGATAATTCTGAGCTGACTGCAATAACCTAAATGGTGGTGAAGACAACAACTCTCATAATCCTACGCTACTTCCTAGCAAACAAGAGATATTGTGCATTTGACTTTCTCCAGCTGACCTGTTCCTGCAGCTGGCTCTGACTCTCCTCCAGCTCCGAGATGTGAGCAGAGCTCTCGGTCAGCATGCTCTGCTGCTGCTGCAGAGAGAGCTGCAGCTGCAGGTTCTGCTCACCAGAGCTCTGACACACCAGGGTGGTGCTGTGGAGCTTCTCCTGCAGGGAGGACACCTGAGGAGGGAGGAACAGGGGGGAGGAACAGGGGAGAGGATCAGGGTTGCATACAGAAAAGGAGAGGAGAGAAGATCGAGATATTAGTGTGTTCACGCTGTACCTTGTCTTTGTTCTTCTGCAGCTCACTCTCATAGTTCTTCGTCACCTCCTCCATCTGCTGCAGGTAGAAGACCAGCTCCTCTCTGCACTCTGACAGAGACGTCTGCAGTTCACTCACCTGATGTACAAACACATGGAAGGTGCTTACAAGTGTTTATGCTGGAATTCATTCAATATACCAGATGTTTTTGTACATCTAAAGGTCCAGTGTGTCAAATGAAGTGGCATTGTGCAGCAAGGTCGCAGATTGTAACCAACTGGATCCTCCGCTCACCCTTCCCTTTCTAAACGTGTAGAGAATTGGCCTTTATGTGCCGTAAACCCGTGAAAAGACCTCTCTGGAGTGTGATTGGTTTGTCCGTTCTGACTGAGCTACTGTAGAAACATGGCAGACTGTGAAGAGGACCTGCTCCATATACAGATATAAAGCCCCCCCCCCTATCTAAGCTAAAGACAGCACCAGGATTCTTGGTGAGTGTACACAAATAAAAACATAGCATAGTGTTTTCCATTTCTGCCAATAGACCTTTTAATCTAACAGTTTGTCTTTGGTAACATGTCTTTGTGCAAACCTTGGTGGCAGACTGAGTCGCCTGCTCTTCCAAACTCTTCAGCAACTCCTCGTTGTGTTGCACTTCATCCTGCCTCTGCTGTAATTCAATCAAAACAAATAGAAAACACCTGGATGAAAAAGGTACAATCTTTCAACCAACTTCAGTCCTTATTTTAACTTTCACATTTTTATTCAATATCACTATTTGAACTCTTAAAAGCCCATTGGTCCATAAGACAAGAGAGTGCTTCAGAAAACCCCACAAATATCAACTTTTTGTCCCATAGGACAAAAGATGGCTACATATTGTTTTGAAGCCCTTGCTTTAGATGGAAAGCTTGATATATTACAATGTATGATTGTATGATGTAATGGCCGTGGGATAAAACATTTTGTGGACATTTTGGACCTTAAGGGTCTTTTGTAAGTGTATTTTGAATACACACTTTATTGAACTTTAGCTGAGGTAAAAAATCCTAAATAAGAATACATTGAAATGAAAACCAGACCAGAGTCTATGCCATATGCATTAAGACACCCAAAGTTATCCAAAGGGTCAAAGTAGTTGTAGCTTAATCTGAAATGGTTCCTGTGCTTGGAAAGGCACAGATATGCTTCTACATAGTGTAAGACTGTCCTGACCTGTGTGAGTTGTTCCACGGAGCTCTGCAGCAGGAGAGCAACCTCCTGAGCCTCGTCTCTCTCCGTCTGGACTGAGCTTAGATTCTGCTCCATCTCCAACACCCGAGTCTCAGCCTCCTCCACACACAGCTGAAGCTGCAGAGGACAGGAAACACACAGTTTATAGTGATGAATGAAACAGAATCAGGGGGGCTGCAGAGTGGAGAAGTAGATCACCATTTCTATTCTGTGCTGATGCTCAGTCAGTTGGTGCGATTGAGAGTTTTGACAGTTCTCCAAAGACTGCTGGTACTCCTTCTGCTTTTTACTCATCATTGACTGGTAATGCTGAACAGTGGCCTTTTTCTCCTGTAATTACAAAAAGAAAGACACTAAATAACAACGCTTTTTCGGCAAAAAATGTAAATGGTGGCGTTAGAGAATACATTTAGCATGTTTAAATGATAACCTGTGTCACGTAAAAAACGCATTAAGATCGACAGATTGATTTCAAAGACCTTGTATGTATATTTTTATAAAACATACATACAAGAGTCAACAAAACCATTCATAAAACAAGTTGGAGCCAATATATATTTATCACTTCATCCTCTCTAATAATGCTATGAGGAATGTGTGCTACATTGTCATAACTTGGCATGCATGAAGAACGGCCCGATTGTGAGCTCAGTGAGCTCAGTGAGCTTGACCTTTGGCCAAATTCAAACAAAATGTGCTAGAGGCGTGAAATGCGAAAGGAAGGCTTAGAAAGAGTGTGTGCGTGTGCGTGTGTGTGTGCGTGTGCGTGTGTGTGTGTGTGTGTGTGTGTGTGTGTGTGTGTGTGTGTGTGTGTGTGTTACCAGTAGCTGATTCTCCAGCTCGGTGTTGGTCAGAGCAGCCTGACTGTAAGCAGAGGTCTTCTCCTGTAGCTGTTTCTCCAGCGCAGCCACACGTGCACTTTTTCTTTTCAACTAAGTAAAACAGAGATAAAAAACAATGAGTAAGAACCTATAATCGGCTCTAACCTTTTTTTTATATTGACAATATGCTTATTTTTCATGGCCGAGATGGCTTTTGTCAAATCCATGAAAAATAACAAACGAGTGATCGTAAAAATGCTATTTGTATTATCAATGCTCTGAAATAATAGTGACTGGATTTGGGAAATCAGGCTACGTGCAAAAGTTTTAAGATCTCCTTACCTCAAAACATTGTTTTTCTTATATTTAGAGTCAGTAAAATATCTGACCTTGACTAGTGACTTATATCTCCCAAAGTCTGTCACTAAAGTTGTGCCCTGCTGAGAGGGTGGCGTCCGTGCACTGAAATCTGAGATTCAAAAGAGCCCCAGGGAAACTTATGTAGACATTTTATAGCTCCCTTTACCTACAAATTGACAGGAACATTTGATTTTCTATGTGGTAGACCCATGTTTAATATAATACGGGTCTGGATACAGTAAAATATATCAAAGAAATGATGACGAGGATGACAGAGAGGACGTGAAACCTCACCTCCTTCTCTTTGTCGGTGGTGTGGCTGACTCTGTCCAGCAGCTCTGAGTGGAGGCTCTGGTAGTGGGAGGCTCTCTGGGCCATGGAGCTCTGCAGGGTGGAGGTCTCCTCCTGGGACCTGCTGAGACGCTCCTGCAGCCGCTCCACCAGGCTGCTCTGTCTGCTCCGCTCTGCTTCCATCAGCTGCAGGGCGCGCAGCAGCTGCTGGTAGCCTTCACCTGCCAGGGGGGCCACCATGGGGGGCCACGGGGAAGAGAGGACAGGAATTACTCTTTAGAAAAAAAATGATATATGCAATTTTTTTACTTTCACATTTTAACAACAAAAATCTATTTTTCTTTACAAGGTAAGGCGAAATTGTAGGTTGGAGGCGCTCGATAAGCTTTTTTCTCTGTTGTATTTTTAATAATCAGACGTCCGATTACTATCATCCTTCATTTGAATAAAATAGTACAGTTAGTTCAAATGACTAAGATTGAAAACAAATTGAAATTCATTGACCTTGATTATAATAAAATGATTATAGGTTTGAAAGATGTTTGAAACAGGAGGGGGAATGGAAATGTAAATACGTAAATGTATAAAATATATAACTTGGGTCTAGTCATTTTTACACACATTTAACATATTACACCTTTAATTACCATGCAAGATTTAAATAGTTTCATTCTTTCACCTAGAGGTGACTAAATACATTTACTCAAGTACTGTACTTAGTACTTCTACTCCACTATTGTTCAGAGGTAAATGGTGTACTTTTACGCCACTACATGTATCTGTTAGGGATTAATTTTGTCTTTACTCCTAGACATTTAACCTTATTTTGTGTGTTGACATTTACGACCATCCCTGCTTCTAATCTCCCGTAAGGAATGTGTTGATGCAGTCGTATGTTGATACTAGGTTTTACAGCTTGACCTACAGGCCATAGGGAGGTTTTGCGAGTGTGAGAACGCTAGCTTCTAAGCTCCAGAGATGGGAGAGACATCTCCTGTGTCTGCAGATGTGTTTACGCCCATCCCCAATATGTGGATTTGACTCTCTGTAAACTAGTTAAAAGGTCTACTAAGATGCGAGGCTGATCAGATTTGACATGGCAAACCACCCGTGCAGTCAGAACCTTTGACTGTGTGACTTGTGATGTGAATTTCTCCGGCCGATGCTTGTATTAAATATCAGTGTTTGACATCAGAACTCCTGCTCGTCCCGTGTCTCCTTCATGAGTCGGTGACTCCCACTGCATTGCTACACAGAAGTTTCCTCCACGGTATCTCATACCTTTAGTTACTTCACAGATGTGGATGAATGATGTGAAATCTAATCAAGTGTTGAATCAGACTTTAGTTCCACCTGGAGTAAATCCACCAGCTACCCTGCAGTATACAAAGTCATTCAAACTAGCTGCACCTTTACCAGCTTTGAGAACACTTTCATGATCAATCATTATAAAACATATCATATATATTATTCTGAAATGGACCAATCTGCACAACGAATACTTTTACTGTCACTACTTTCACTATATTTTGATGCTGATACTTTTCTACTTTTACTTGAGGAACATTTTGACTACACTCTGGTACTTCTACTTTTACTACAAGATCTGAGTACTCCCACTTTTACTCAATGTACAATTTCTACTGCTTCCACCTCTGCTTTCACCTCATGAGCAAAAGGTATGCAGAATGAGCTTCTCATTCTTACTCCATGAAAAGTGGTGTATATAGTGTCATTCAAAAGGACCTTGCAAGGGGAGGCAGAAAACTTCACATCTCTGTTAACTGACACGGATAACTCCGAGGTCTCAGCATACCTGGCTTCAGATTCAGTAGGTGTGCAGTTCCTGAATAGTCCACTGGGGGAAGCATGCAGGGCCTGACACACAGCGTCCCCACCACACCCTGAAATAAAAAGAAACAATATTAGACAATAGTGAACAAAGAATTATATATTATAGGTAGATATACGGTCTGAATTTATTTTAGCTTTACATTTATGCTACTTTTATTTATTTTAATGTTGACACCTGATTTATAAAACAAAAATACTGCGTTTGCTTTTAATTAATGTGTTAAATAAAACAGCATTTGTCAACTATATTATTCTGTAAACCTAAAATATAAGAGGACACATTTTTGATACAAAATGTATTCTTTTCTAAGGTTACATTGTTCTGTTGTGTTGTGTTAAACACTTCAGTAAAAAACAACTTATTGATATTTATCTTCTCTTGTATTTATTTGCAATGCATTTGACATTGAGGTAATCCAAAAGTAACGGAAAGCAATCAGATTACATTACTTTTATATTGTGATACTCAATACTATTTTGATAGATTAGGTTACTGATTACTTCTTTCTTTTGAACAGGTATTGAGTAATTGTAACAGATTACATTTGGAAAGTAACCCTCCCAACCCTGTTAATATAGCAACTACTTGTGGACATTCCCTGGTACACCAAAGCAAATAGCTCATGATGTAACCATGAGGTCACTGTTGCAGACTTCACAGAATCATGGGACATTAGGTCACAAACAACACTGATTTGTGTATAGTACTCCTCTGGACCTCTCGTAGATGCAGCAGGGTCAGCGTGGCCTCCAGGCCGGCCAGCTCCGCCTCCCTCTGCTGGGCCTCCCTCTGGCTCTGGACCAGGCTCTGCTCCTGCCTCTGGGTCAGAGTTTGCAGGTTCTCCAGATCTGTTTGCAGAGAGGCCAGCTCCCTGAACTCAGCGCCCCGCTCCGTTAGCTGCCGTTCCAGGTGTAAGGCCTTTCGTCCGGCCTCCTCCAGCTGAGCCTGCAGGCCAGCAGCTGCAGACCTGGCCTGCCACGCCTCCTCCGTCAGCTGGCTGCAGGCAGACAGGGGGTCATTGGGGATAGAATGTGTTAGCAAGCAAATCAAAGCTTTTCTTTCTCAAAGATTTGACTGATAATGACAAAAGGTCAGAAAGCCACCTATGTGTTTCTACAAACATCAAATAAGGTTACGTACCAGATTGTCTGACTCTGTTGGACCTTTCCCCTCTCCAACAGAGAGCACTTCACCTCCAACTGCTCCTTCTCTCTGTCACACTCAATGAGACTCTCTTTCAGTTTGCTCTCACTCTCCATCACCTTGAAAACACAAAGAAGGAATGGCATTTTTGGCTTTAATGTGCAACATTAAAGCAGTAATTTAAAAAAATATATATATATTAAAATATATATATGAATATACTGTTCTTTGAAGATGTGAAGATGATGCTTTTTGTAGTGTGTTCTATAGGTTTCTGTGCATGTAAAGGGTCTGCAAAGGCTAAAATCCCTGTGTTCCCTCCAGAGGGAGTTTCTCTCCCACTCTCCCCCCCCCCCTGCCTGAAACGCCTTCATTGGATTACTTTGTTTGCTATCATAACTTAGTGACATCACTATGTAACACTTGCGCTTCTATTGGCTAGTGCTCCAACACATTGTATTGATAGGCTAAGGGGCGGGACATCTCTAAGCGGTCGACCAGTCACAACAGAGTCAACCAGCTAACCAATCAGAGCAGACTGGGCTCTGGTTTCAGACAGAGGGTGAAAAGAGGTGCTGCAGCACAGGCAGTATGAGAACAATAAAGAGCTTTTTGAACATTAAAGCATGGAGACATGTCCCAGGAGAGACACTACATACTGATAAGAACCTGACAATGAGTAAAAAGGGCCCCTTTAATAATTAAACCATTAAAATAAATAATGTTTACCCTCTGAAATTTTATAGAAACAGTAGCCCTATACTCTTTGAAGGCTTCTTTGAGTTTCTCTGCATTTTGAAGTGCTTGGTTCCTTTGTTGCTCAGCCCTGTAAGGGATGAGAGAGAGAAAAGGTCATTAACAAAAACTCTAACAATAACTAATGTAAAAGTCAATCAGAAACATCAATAGAGTATGTGATTCTTTTCAACTTGAGATCCTAGTATGTCCCTTCAGGTACCACTAGTTATGATGAGAGAAATCATAGTGTTGCAGATACATTTGAGGTTTATGTAATTTCCCAAAACTTAAGAACTGTGATCTGTACTATAATAAAATGAAACTGTGTGCGGTACCCAGACAAAGAATCACCGTTTGCACAGAGCTGTCTTGGTGTCCAGCTCTTCTCTGAGCGCGCTCACGTCCTCCGTGAGATTCGCCACCAATATGTCACTGTGGGCGGCTGCTTCCTGACTGCAGTCTGCCCTCAGCTCTGTTGCCCTGGAAACACACGGCACAGGACATTAAAGCTAGGTTTGATAGGAGGTTTTATTATGAAAATAATTGAAAGATAAAATGGAAAAAATTAAAAGCCACTTCAAGCATGCCTAATTAGAGTATTTATAGGAATACATCAAGGGTATATATGGACAATTGTAGTGTTATGAATGACTAACTGTTCCCAAGAGCACATTACATGACTTTAAATGCACCATTTGTTCTGCCTCAGAAGGCCCCTTCTGTGAAGGTATTTAGAACAATAAAAAGGACAGAATTTGGGGGCAGTTTTTAGGAGCCTATGATCCTGGGAGTTTGTTATTAGATTCTCCAGGTTACATATTTTAGTATTGTTTGAGGAAATAAAGTTTTATGACATTTCTAAAAATATTCACTTAAGACTAGTTCCTGGAAAATATAAAAGTTATCCAGAAAGCATCTTAGAACCTAAAGATTCTTAGGTGAACAATTGTGACGAGCAGGGTGGAGGTCTATAAAGAAGAGTTACTTATTGATTGATTGATTACTTAAGCAAAATGGCAACAAAGGAGGTAGGAGACATATTCTCTATTTGAACTCTTTTGTATTCATGTTTGTGGTATATCTCCTACATCTACTGCCGAACGCAATAACTATTTAAGAGTGTAAGAGATCACAACACTTGTATTTTGCGAGTAAAAAAATATAAAAAGCGTGAGCTGGTTTACAGATTAGAGAATAATTCTCCCTTACTCCTAAAATATTTAACCTTTTTGCCTGTTGACGTTTATGACCAACCCTGAGTTATCTGTCTTAAGGAATGGGAGGCCTCAGCAAATGTTGATGTTCCCAGTTTTATGACCGGGCAACTATCGGTCACAGATGGTTTATGATTGTGAGAATGCTGGCTTCGAGCCTAATGCTGCGTTCACACCGGACGTGATGCGAATATTCGCTTCGCTCTAATCGCTCCTATCGCATCGCTCTAGTCTAATGGTGCGTTCACACCGGACGCGATGCGAATATTCGCTTCGCTCTAAACGCTCAAGTTTCACCGCGGCTGCCAGCTGTGTTTACTCGCATCATTCAAACAAGACGCGCTCGGGAGCTACAACTACAGCAAAAAGGATAGGTTTCTAACACAGTCAACCAAATGAAATGCAGCATCACCTTGGTTCAATTACAGATTTCTCTAGGTTTAAAAAGTGTTGAACACATTTTACATAATTGAAGTACTCAATGAAAAAAAAAAATCGTATTTAAGTCTATTCATTTACATTTGATTTGGGAAGGTTTATAGTTTTAACATCAATTCGGTATCCAGTGTGTAGAAAATAGGCATGCAATTGTCACAATACAGTTACATAAACAGCGACAGTAATCTGTGTTGAGGGGGGGTACTTTAGTTGTGCAGTTTGAGTCTCCAGCTCTGCTTGAAGCTGACGAATCTGCTCACTCATGAGTGCCAAACTGCTCTTAACCCCCAGCCTGGGGCCTCTGAGGCGGCCCTAAAAAACAACAAACAACAACACACAGGATATGTATTTACAGTTGTACTCATCACACATCTGTAACAGTGGTTATGTTCTCATTGTTGTGCCTTGACATTTCATGTGAAGAGTCAATGGAGCAATGTATTTTGCAACAAAACACTGAAACTACAAACTCTTATGAAACAGAAAATAAATAAAACTACTTTGCATAATTTACTAGCGTATAAAGAATCCAAGGTTTTTTCTGATTTCTTTACAACTTATATTGCCTATCGCTTATATAGAATGTAGTATATACAGTACACACACCATTCTACTGGTCATAATGATATATTTACTGTGTATGTTCCATTGTGTGCAATGCCTGCTTAAACACCTTTCTTTCCCCCAAAGCGGACCCATGCATCTGTCCATGTAAATCCCCATATTTAGAGCCTATATTGAATATTGCCTTTATGTAAGAGATATTGTAAATAGGGGAAATAAAGTGATTAAATGTGACATTTAACATCCATCCATGTATCTATATGCTATAAAGCAGAACATAGACCATTAGAAGATTTCAGCACCTCCATTCAGGGATTATCACCACACCTGAGACCTGGAGGAGGACAGTTCATACTGCATGGCATCGAGGTCGCTGATGAGCTGCATCTGTTCATCCTGCACGCTCAGACAGGCGTTCTCCTGACGCAGCCTGGCAGAAAAAGACTCCATCTCTACTGACTTCAATGAGGCAGACTGAGGGGGAAGAGAGAACACAAGTGTTGATGAGACATGTGTTGCAGTTTGAAAGGATGTACTTTTTATGCCTCAAGTTGATTTTCTCAAGCTAAGCCTAAAGCATTGGCTGTATATACAAAATGGAAGTAGTCACCATGATATGAGCTGTGTGTGTGGACTGCTGTTTTGAACCTTTGAGTTGGGCATTTTCTTGGTTTCACAAACCCGAAATGAGACAAGAAGTGGTGTCTAAGTATAATCTCACGCTGAACCGTTTGACAGTTTGAGCCGGCTTTAATGTACAACTAACTTTCATGAATAGAAAACTCACTGTTCTATAAAAGTTGTAGACAAAAACACAGACAGTACCCTGTGTGGTAATAATAGGTTTAATAGTTTAAAATATGAACATCATGTAATCGAGACAATGAGCAGATTACCTAAATGTTCATCGAGTTCATAAATCAAGTGTGAAGGAGGCTAATTTTCTCATAGACTTCTTTTTTTGCAAATAAATAATAAATTGCCCCCTGCTGCGGGCGGGCAGGGAAGATAGTGGCCGACCCCTCCCACCCTGGACACAAACTGTTCACCCCCCTCCCCTCTGGCAGGAGGCTGCGCTCCATCAGGACCAAAACCTCTCGCCACCTGAACAGTTTCTTCCCCTCCGCTACCGGCCTCTTAAACAAGGCCCGGGCCCCCACTGACACTTTACCTCAGCCACAACGCATTGCATTAATGCACACAATGTTCAAATATTGCTTACTGCACATATTTCATATTCTATAATTCACTGCATTCTATTTCGCTGTAAATTACTGCTTTATTTTATTGCTATCTATCTATACTTTTGTTTACAGTGTTCTTAATATAGTTCGCTATCTGTGTACTTTTTTAAAAAATGTTGTTTTAAATGTTATGTATGCACCATGACATCAAGTCAAATTCCTCTTACGTGTGAACCTACCTGGCAATAAACCCGTTTCTGCTTCTGCTGGTTATTTGAAAGAATGCAGGTTTAAGGAAGTATTTTTTTGTCAAGTCTCAAAAGTTGACTCTTGGTCTAAAAGTAATCAAATTCGTCAAATATGAATCTGCCATGTGACTCAAACCAAACGTCTCAAATTACCCCCATTTAAATATATTCCACACAACCCACAGAAGAGAAGTTTAATATCTACCCACCTATTTCTTCGTTAGAGGGACCAATTATACTTGTTGTACGCTTGCACTCATACAGTATGTAACATGAAAATGTTCGTACGCAATGTACAGCACATCTTGATGGCCGTTTGTAATTCTTTCACCCACAAGCTTGGTGTTTCTTACCTGAGAGATGGGGGAAGGTGGGGTGAGACTGCCAGCAGCAGCACGTCTCTCAGCCGTCCCACTGACAGGGCTCTCCTGGCAAACACAGCCCGACTGGGATGGAGGAACATCAGGTGTCTGCAGGTCGGTGAGGGTTAGGTGCTCGCACTGCTCAGGACTCGTCTGCTCACATTCCCCTCTGTCTTCATGGCCTCCTGACTGACTGTACAGCATATACAAAAGGGGATCAAGAGAGGAGGATGAGGAGTCAAACACAGCATCAGAACTACTCAAATATATTTGACATTTAGATTTAAAACAATAACTCTCTTTCCAACACTGGACGATGTAAACTCACAATACATTCATTGTGATGAATTCCATTATCTGGATAATTGTGAATAGATATTGTATAAAGATAAAGATTTCGTTATAGACAATTACTTTGTCTAAATTGATAATAACAAGCACATATGGAAATATGTTGATATTCATGTTCATTTTGCACTAAAGTTCTAAAAAGAAATTGAAAATAAAAACATTTAAAACTTTAAAACATTAAAAAAACGTTGAAGGAAGAATGCATACACTCGGCTTCTGGAAGATGATTTTCCAGCTCAAAATGTATCCTTCTTGAGTCATACAAATAGTAGAATAGTAAAGGGGCGTGTCCAGAGGGATTCAAATCAGAGTAACAGGGGGGGACATTCAAACAGGGGACACACACTTAAAAAAAGACTTTAAACAATAAAAATGAATGAATAAAAAAGAATTACATTTGGTGAGGAATATTAGCAAAGGGTTATACAACAGTGACAACAATGTGGAATTTGTTTGTATTTCTTCTTTTTTTATATCTGTTACAGAAGTTGAGCAAACATGATTGGGGACACAGCGGCCTACTTGTGCTACAATCGGAGTCATTATTTAGAATTTTGAATATCCTGATTCCTGGGTAAATAACTGTGTTGTTTTATGGTAGAGGGGGATACACATTTAAAACCAAGCTTTTAAAAAATAAGCATTAGACCTTTTAAATACAAAATATATGATATAATGTGTTGGGGACCTAAATGGCACCGAATGCTAGGAATGACCACTTCACTGAAATAAATATATACAGACAAGTTACAAGAAAACAAAGCAAACTGAAGTGGGAGGATAGAAAGCATAGCTTCAGAAATATATTGCAAGTTATCCAATCATATCGATTTTGGTCAAATACATCAAATATTATTGCAAAATAAATACAAACTTTATGTTAATTACGTTTTTGTTTTTTTATTAAACCAAATTACAATAATTTCAAGTCTCAAGGTAACATATTATGGGCTCATGTACAGGGGCTGAAATAGCAATACAATACCAACAAATAAAAAGACATACACAGGTCACAATGCAATTTCCTATAACACTAAACAATCATTTGTCAAGATTAACTAAAGCCTTATAAATCTGGTTTTTATTCTAAAAATGCATATTATTGGTTAACTGAACTAATTAAAGTCAATACCAGAAAAGTTGATTAACATACGTTTGTGTAATCTGTTAGGGAAATATTCCTGAATGACCTATATTATATATTATATTTATATATATGACCACAATAAATACTTTAGAGATTTGGGTCCATCTGTCATTTCTGTGTGACTGCTTATGTTTGTTGTGTTTTCCCTTGTTTTGTTGTTTTATTAATGTGATCATCTTGTATGCTCTGCAGAAAGGGAATCTGCTGTAAACCATTATTAACTTGTCACACTCGCATCAAATGAGCAACGTTGGATACTTGTTGTAAGTATTCTCTCGCATACATATACAATGAATGCGTGAAAACTCTTTGTAATACCCTGAACTGGTGTCTGTGGTTTCTCTCAGTGGCAGAAGTGCTGTTGTAGACATTAGCAGAAGGTTCACTGTGTGTCTGAGTCCATGTCATGCAGTGTGCTGCTCACCTCAGTTTCTGTCCCACACTGATCAGACTGAGCTCTGTCAGTAGAAGCAGATTCCTCAAACTGACCACATCTTCGGTTAAACTCCTCTCGTTCTCAAACATTAGAGTAACGATGAGTACATGGTAACTACTCAACAACTTGTCGACTTGGTGAGGTTGGCTTTAAGTTGCAACATATCTAACGTGAATGTTTGGAAAAGTGAAGAACACCCACAACTAAGTTATATCCTCAACAAATCGGTAAGTTAATAGTTAGCATGGCACACTAGCAGCTAGCTTAGCCACACTCGATAAATGTAAACAAAGATGCTTAACAGGTGGCTAGCTAATTCGCATTATCGTTCCAAAGCCTATAACCTACCGAACAACCTCACTAACAACATTTACGTTCCGAGTATAATATTAAATGTTTTCAGTCATTGTAAACGTTTAAAATATATGTATTTAAAACTTCTAGTTCAACAAAACTTTCCAGGATACCCGTGTAGAAGCAATGTAGCCGGAACAATTTGTATTTTAAGTCCCCGCCCACGCCTTAACAACACCTTTTGTGATTGGACGAACAGAAGCTGTGTGCGCATTGATTGGTGGAGAGGGTTGCTAATTACAGTAGGCGCGAACACTGGCGCCTGCGCTGAACTGTCACTTTTCAACGGTAGTTTTGGCCCTAGAGTTAAGATTCTTTTGACAAAAGCATAATAAACAAACAATACAGATCAACACCATCAATCCATTCAGAACAGATATGTGAATAATAAAAGAACAGATTAAATTACAACAGTTGATTCATTTAAATTTAAATTAAATTCTGTGTCTTTAATTATGGCAGGTTTAAAAAAATATATAGAGGCGAATTTCAAGCTGTCCCCCACTCTAGCTGTGACATCACGCACTCTAAGCCTTAATGAGCTGCGCAATACACACTAATGTTAAAATCTGAAGAAGGCCTCTTTACCAAGGTCTGAACAATGTTTAATATCTCTAAAAGTATGAATCTGATTTAAAAGTTGTGTAATATGAATAATGAATAATAACCCTAACCATAACATTAAAGGTCCCATGCAGTGCTTGAATTGGAATGAAAAAGGTGCCAGTACTCTAAAATCAGCAACTTTTTCAAGTCAATTTTATATATACAGCCCACAAACAAGAATTTGGCTACTATAATGCTGGCGGGTTTGTCTCTTTACTACTGTATATTTTAGAAAGGTTCACTGTACTTAACATTTTTTATGATAGGCAGCGGATATGGCTAAAGCTCAGTAAGGTCAATATTAACTGAAAATATAGCAATCAAAGTCTAGATCTTCTGCTGAAGACACATGAAGCAGAGACCTTTCAGGTGAGAGCCCCTCTGGTGGTGTTCAACATTAATGACAAGGAAACAAAGCTCTGGTCAGAAGCATTTTTTATAAAAAGCTTTAACAAAATTAAGTATTTCTGTACATTTTGAATGCAATCTAACTTTCCAACTCAGAAAACGAAAAAGTGCCAAAAGTCTTCTCACATGGCTGAGCTGCTTTGCAATATACTTCACCACTGAAGAATACACATATGTATAAAGTAAACTATGATGCAATCTAACTTTCCAACTCAGAAAAATGATAAGAGCATGAACAAAGAACATGTAAAAACAAATGCAACATTTGCACAATCTAAAATGAGAAACTGTAACTGCAAGTAACAAAGTCTGAGCCATGGTAAAGAGTTACATTGAACACCAAGCTGATCAGATAACTCCCTGGTTGGTCTGAAGTCCTTCTATCTCCAGGATCTGTACAAATCGGCACATTATGCCAAAAGTCTTCTCACTGGGTGAGCTGCTTTGCAATATACTTCACATTGTTAGAAAAGGCTCCAGAAGGCCTTGGGGACATCAGTATCAGGGGCTGGAGCTGGACAGGCTCTTTCATCAGCACTTCTCCTTCCCTTTGCCAGCCAGGACCTCACATACTGTTCCGGATTGAACTGTCCTAGTGATGGTCCATTACATTTAATGAAAACCAGGCTGGACAGTCGGCTGACAGAGAGAGCATTCCTTTTTGCAGTAAGGATATCGTTCATGCAGCTGAATGCCCGCTCACACTCACTAGTGGAGACAGCGATGGTTCGGACTGCTTTCAGTAGAGGCTCCATGGCAGCAGGTGTACGGGATGCCCTGGTTCCTTGTATTCGCCAAAGCCCTGAACAGTCTCTCTTCTGTCCACTTTCAGCACTTCGCACAAACGTAGCACCTCTACGTCCCCATACTGTACGTCTAACTCCTCTTCAGGCCAACTGCCAGGATGGATAACTTTCATGTCCTGGATTAGCTGATTGTCCCGGGCCTCCCGGCCATGTAATGGGATTTCTCTTGTGCTGACATGAGAGGAGGTTGTGGAAGTCATTCTGTGTCTCAGATTCTCTACCATACTGCGGAAAAACTGACCTGCATGAATCTGTACAAGCCTGCCATTCTCACGCAGGGCAACACCCTTGAAGGACTTCTCAGCTAGAGCTGTATGAACTGTAGTCATGTGTGGGCCAGGCATGGTGACCATGGATTCAAAAACTCGTATTTCTCGAGTTAAGAGCCTATCTGCTGTAGGCAGTGTCATCTCTCTTTTTTGGAGTTGCCGAGAGAGGTCGCTGAGCTCTGTGAGCGCATCGTACATCAGTCCCAGATTGCTGACAAACGTTGCAGATGTGAGCACATCATCCAGGCCCTTGTACCTTGCTCTGTCTCTGGAATCCCTGCTCGTGTCGTTTGCAGCATTTGTGAAGTGATCATGAAGCACTCGGTAGTTTTCCCAGACTGCTCTGACGCTCCTTTCACTTGAAGCCACCCAGCGGATGGACAAAACACGCCCTATCACCAGGAGACGCTGTCCGACTGCTTGCGCACACTGCGCTAACTGCCTCTGATTTTTGGGGGAGGCCTGGAACAAGGAATAGAGTTTGTCAAAAAAGATCTGGTAATGATTGAGCCCTGAGACCTCCTTGACCACATCCCCAACTGCCAGCTCTAGACGATGATTGGAGCAGTGCCACACAAACAGGCTTGAGAATGTACTACACAACTGGGTCGCAACGCCTGTTCTCTTCCCTAGCATGACTGAAGCCCCATCACATGCAAAAGAAACGAAACACTGACCTAAAAAGTCCTCGTTAAAATCTCTTCCAAGACACTCCATTAACGCCTTTGTGATGTCATCAGCCGTTGTTCCATCCAACTCGATCAGCTCCCAAAAAAACGTTTCGGGCTCAGCATCAGCTAATGCTGAGCGTAGACACACAACAAGCACCGTTTTACCACTAATAGTGGTAGATTCATCGACCAAAACACAGAGTTTTCTTTGGTTTTCTGTAATGTCTTTTGCCATTTTTTTCTTCAGCTCATGAGCTATGTGGTCGATGATTTCGCCACAGGTTTTATTGGAGTGCAAAACCCTGCCCACGTTCAGCCCATTCAGTTTCTGTACATTCAAATCAATTGGCATGTCTGTGAATGGCCGGCTATGTTTGCCAATTTTATATGCCGTTCGAAAAACTCTGATAGTGGTGTCTAATTCAGATGTATGCATAGACTGCACTTGATGTTGAATAGTTTCACGTGAAGCAGATGTAAGGATGTCAGCAGCTTTTACATGGGCTTGTGATTCTTTATGTTCTTTGATTTTTTTTTCTCAGGCTAGCTTGTTGTTTGCCCTTGTCAACACCGAAATGAGACACTGCACACTCACCCCATTCAGTTGACAGTTTCAGTCCTTGTCCAGTGTGTATTCCCAAAGATTTGACATCTCTGCATATCCGACATCCTAGCTTCTTATCTTTAAGAAGGAGCCATGCATTGGTCTTGCAAAAATATTGCACCTGGTCCGTTGTACAGCAGTCAGGTGCATCGCTTTGCCCGGTGTTGGTGGTGGCAGTTGCGCCAGCAGCAGCTAACATTAGAGGCTCTGGAGGAGGCGGCGGAGCTAGTGCTAATGCTAATGCACTAGAACTTGGAGCAGGAGGATCAACCAAAGAAAGCTCCCCATCAGACACAATTTCCAACACAGGCACAGCATTCTCTGTATTTGAAGTTTCTTCCGACGACAACCGCTGTCTTTTTGCACTTTTATTAATCCACGCTAACATTTTAGAAATGCTAATTTGTGAGGTGACTTGCTTTCCTTCTCTCGGGGGCGTGCCTGCTCTGTTCTATCACTCTACATAGCCACCCACTGGGTGGGAGTTGCACTGCATAAACACAACACACGTGCATCTAGGTATGTCAATTGTAAAGCATTAAAACATGGTTTTACTAACAGTTTTCAGTATGTTGTTACTTCGGCATTATTATTATTATTATTTTAAAACGTGTATTACTATTAAATCACGGTCAAATGGGTTAATTTTGACATAGTCGTTTCCACCACAGTATTTACATGGAGAAGATAAGCCCCGCCCCCTCTCCAGCACGTTCTGTTTGAATGACAGGAGTAAACAGCTGACAGCCGCTGTGAAACTCAAGCGGTTCGGCACCTCATGACGCATCTACTGAGTACCGGGCGGCTGTGTATATATATATATGGATGTATAATAAGAACGGCGGGAGAGTGTTGAGTACTGGCACGGTGCATGAGTACCGGAGTACCGCCAGCATGCCGGTACTGAGCAAGAAGTGCCGGTACTCCATGGGTCAGAACCAGAAGTGCCGGTACTGCGTACCGGTGAGTACCGGCCCAATTCCAGCACTGGTCCCATGTCATGCTTTTCCGGTTATTACCCGTCCCCTGCCTTGTGTGTTATGAAAGTTTTTATGCATGTAAACGGTGTGCAGAGTCAAAACCCTCAAAGTACACCCTGTAGCGAGTAAAACTCTAAAACAGAAAATACCTCCCCAAAACGCCTCGTTGGAAATACGTCATTGTCCATCTGATTCTTCCAGGTACGCATGATGTCATCCGTACCCGGAACGAAATGGACCAATCCGTGGAGCCGTTACGAACGTCCGCGGAGCCGTTACGTTAAGCCCCCGCTGATTGGTCCAAATTGACCAATCCACGGACTTCCTCACACACTCAGTGCATGCAGCTCTGCTGATGTCTCCTCCCTGGCTGCAGGCTGATAACAGACAGTTGGGATCGCGGCGAAATTCTCTCTGCAGACCCGTTCTCTCTGCAGACCCATTCTCACAGCGTTTATCAACCTTTTTCTTACTCAATATCAAGCCACACTTATTGTTTTTACTTCGGCTGTGACTTTGTGTGTGCTCAGGGTGAGTTTGGCTGTGTTTCGCTGTGTATCGCTAAACAAGGAAATCACACCTCCACGGAGCTTCAGCGCGATTCACAACGTCCCGACTGGTCCCGACCATAGACTGTATATATAAGGTCCCGACCAATCGGAGCACACTGGGAGGAGGGGGGCAAGAGCTGCAGCGAGCCGTTTAGTGGAGAGTGAATACCAAGCGGCAAACTGTGGGGTAGAGCCGGGAAGCCAATACGGAAGTGCAACACACTGCAGTTCATATATTGGCCGATAGGCGATGGCTGCAGAAAGGATCAATTTCCATAGACACCCATGTTAAAATGCACAACTTTACAGCAGAAAAAAACATGTTTCTACCCCTGGCTCCATACATTTTATTAGCGATATAGTTAGATTCCACCTTCATGATTATGGATCTGTGAGTGAATTGTTTTCTAACGCGACCCTTTTATTTATATTAGGTCTTAAAGTTTGTGCATAGATTAGGGCGTGGTCACATTGAGTGACGGCTCTGTCAAGTGCCTGCCGCTGTTAGCTTCTTGTCTCTCTGCTAGCTGCTCCGTGAAGCTAGCTACAGGGACTCTGCCTGCTCAGCTCATCCAGGAAACACAACTTGTAGCCGGCCGTGGTTGTTTGTTCTTCATGCTTATATATCGGACTATTGTGACTCGCTCTGCGGTTGAAACAGACGGTGCATGAATGCGGTAAGTGAAATTCGAGTGCTTTATTTATGTGTTAATGATTTTAATTAGCTACGTAATGAATGGTAAGGCTTGGGTTAGCATGTAAGCTAGTGGTAGCTACATCGGTGCTAACGATTGTAATCGTAGCCTCCAAGTTAAAATCATAGACTGTATATATAAAGGTTACAACTAAATAGACAAGTGTTAAGTGGGATAGTACTGTTGAACAAACGGCTTCTGTTTGAGGTTGATAAAATAAGGTTACATCCTTGTAACTTAGAGATATTTTATTATGTAGGTAGAACTGTATGCATCTAAGGTTAATTTAAATTGGCTATGCTCAAGTATGTAGACAAGCTAATGTCGAAGTAGTGTATGTGAAATCAACCTCACAATAAGATGTGTGTATATTACAATTATTAATGTCATATTTCAAGATGATTACTTAGATATTACAATATGGTTGGTTGAGCTGGAGTTCATTATTGAGCTTACACGTTAACGTCACAGTCATCTGAAGAACGAACCCAAACCTTGTTGTTTTTATTAATTGCATTACCAAATGGGTATCAAATAAACAGTAAGCATTGGTAACACAACTTCCAAAGTTACAGTAAAATAAAAAGGACCCTGACTCGGACAATACACAATCCAACATGTTCAACAGAAGAGAATCAGTTATATTGTTTGTACACATGGTACTTTACATATATATCTGTTTGTTTAAAGTGTCCAGGTGATGCAGACAGGCTGGACCAGAGAGTGAGAGACAGAACTGGACTCCTCACAGCAGTGAACTTCAGCACAGGTACAAAGACTCTTTTTTCATACTGTACAAAGAATCAAGAAAGATATTGGTTTAAATAAAAGAAGTATTGACTTTAATACACTGATATACGTTCCATTAAACAATACTAAATACTAGATCACCTACACATCAGTGAAGTTGAGGGTTTTTTCCATGCAAAAAGTTACATTTAGATGATAACAAGCAATATGACTTTGTCAGCTTTCTAATTTAATGTATTGAAGGCAAATATATTTAACACATAGTGAGAACTGCTACTATTTATCTCTCAATATTGTCTGTAAAAAACGTGGTAAAAGTTATTCTTTCAGTGAGACAACAGAGCAAGCTTCTACAGTTGCACTACGTTTTGATAACAGTTCAATATTATTTTGATAATAACATATATTTCAATGTTGATGAACTTCATACTGTTCATTCATAATCTGATTGTCTTTGTAGCTCACTGTTGAAATAAAAAAAAAACATTACAATTACAAAATAATTATATCTACAGCCCCTAAACACACAAACACACAGCTTTCATAAATAACACACTTGTTCTGCAATAATATGTTTTATGTTTCCTGTCATTTTTGTTAGGAAAGGACATGCCTGAAAGACACAACATTTTCTCCTTCTCTGAGGGTCAAGAAGAACATCCAAGAGGAACATTAAAAGCTGATGTTATGAGATTTTAAGACCAGTACAGGACATTCACTAAGAAACTACTTTTATTGTAAAAACAGTCAGCTGATCGAATGCAGCTATTTCCACATCTACACTCCATCAGCTGATTATTTCTATTTGCCTCACTTAATGAGCTTCACAACATGTACCTTGTGTTGCAACGTCACAAATAAATGGGGCCAATCTTCAGTCTGATGTGAATGTGTAATCTAACATTTTCAGTAAGAATAATGGACAAAAGGAGTGCAAATACAAATACAATTTATTGAAATGTGAACAAAAAGCACATATGGACAGAAGGTGTAAACCTATTAAATGTATTAAACACATTTAGTCAAATAAAGTGACCGACTAGGCCTGTGCAGTTGGTATCAGCTTTGCCCAGCATGGGCTCCTAAATCAGCCCTGGTCCTCCTCGCTGAGGAAAGACCCTCAGTCCTCTCCACACCAACAGACAGGACGTCCATCACACGGAGGTTTCTCCCTGAAGTCTCTGCAGCTCTCTGGACACCAGACTGTCTCAATCCGTCCACACTGAATATGAGAGGGGGAAAATGAAAATAATAAATGCTTTAGACAATAAGAAACATAAAGTTGACTGTTGAGTTGCTCAGTTTTTTTAGATTGTCAATACTATTACTGTATAACTAATATCTCAGGTTAAGAGGCACATTCAAATAAAGATTGGTCTTTAAATACATTTTATCTTTTGAATTGTTTGTCTAAAGTCAGGGATCTAGAACTGGTACTTAGTTTTAATGATAGTCTGGTTATTATGCTGTTTGGAGGAGGCCTCACAGGTAAGAGCACTAACTAGCTACCATCACATGTACCTTAGCTTGACTTAAATGTATTCAACGTATAGTTAAGTGATATCAAAATATAAATAACTAATGTCATGCAAACGTATTAATATTTGCTTGATTCCAGTGTTGAATTTAGCACAATTGCATACAAACGTTAAGGGGTTTTAAGATTCTGAAGTATTATGCTAAAAGCTCAATAACTTAGATTATTATTTATAGTTTTGCTGAATAGTTTCATGTCCGCTTACCTTAGAAACGTAAAATGCGACGGCAGCGTGCAGATGGGGAGCATGTTAGCTTAGCTTGGTAGCTTCAGCTAGCTCTGGAACTTTCAGCTCGGTGGCAGCAGGTCCCGCCTCGGCTCCGCCTCTTTGCCCTTATTTGGAGAAGGCGGGAGTTGAACTCTGACGTCACTGTCGAGCCGTTAGTGGCCGACTCCGCCTACTAAGGGCTTCACGGCAACTCTGCAGAATCCTATGGGTGACGTCACGGACCCTACGTCCATTTATATATACAGTCTATGGTGAATATACATACTTTACAGAGATGCTGTATGCGAAACCAATGTGAGTTTGGAACATCGAACAATGTAAATCTATTCTAGTAAACCTCAACAATGGAATTATGATCAGTGGAAATGGCCATGACATGGGACCTTTAACCTTTCTGTTGGTCGCTTGTTAGCAGACCCTTCACGCGATGGCAGAGCGAACAGGTACATGCAGGGCCCATAGTGTATGCCCTATAGTTTAAATCTACTACCCACAAATACATATATGGACATGGGTTACTATTTTAAAAAAATGGTAAATGTATTTAGGAACCTATCCATGTGACTTTAAGTGGGGGTGGACCTCAAATCCTAGGGGGTTCCGGGGGCATGCTCACCCGGTAAGATTTTTTTTTTTTAATGTTGGAGTGAAATGCATCAATCTGGTGCATTTTGAGGGGAAAATAAAGAGACTAGATCTATGGAAACACCTATATGAAACAGAACTGTATACATTTTAATAATCATAAAATCATGGCCAATATGAAAAAAACACTGAAACTTGTTTATTTATTTTTGGTTCATTTATAGTTGTGAGTGTCTGTGCTCCTGAAGCAGCCTCTCCTGTCTCCCTCCTGTCCCCCCTGCTTCTCTTTGAGGCAGCAGCAAAGACTAGTTTTAGCTCTCAACAAGTTTTAAAAGTTGATCTTACCTTTTTTCACCTAGTTAACTTTTTTATTTTTTATTCATGCATATTTTACTAATCACTCCCTCCTCAAATGGAAGTGTGTGTTTACATAAATGGTGACCAAACCGTGAGACCCACTTAGACTAAGTTAGCTTGAGTGACACACAGAGACCAATCAAGGGCTTTGATTTATGATCTGTATGACAGTGGCCATGTAGACAGCCATCACCCTGTGTGAGGCAGGCCACTTAACAGGCCAGGCCATTCAAATTAACATCAATGTGTTCATGTTAAATTGTTTCTTCTTTGGTAAAAGTGTTTTGCTAATGTAATTTTGTTTTATAAAATGTAAATGTGTCTCAAGCTATGTTAGTGTTTCACACTTTGTAATTATCATTTGCACTTCTCAGCCACCGTAATATTCAATAGAATAATGATATTAAACAGATGATGGTATCATCTGGATGAACACACAACTTTAAGGTTGAAAGAGAAGACTGAATTTGTAATGTGAAACAAGTGAAAGAAATGCAATTACTCTAATTTCCCTTTTGAAATGTCTTTCTTTCATGCGTGTTTGAAATATAGTACTTGCATAACGGTATTAACAAATCCCTTATCCAGTTTAAATTCCACATTCTCTAGTTTCTTCAGCATACATTAAAAAGCTTTGACACATCAACTACAGTTCGTAAATAAACATCTTGTACGCAACACAGTAGTTCAAAATATGGGCTTTTATTCAACCTTTAACTAAACAGGTTCAGAAGTAACATGTCAACCTATATAATCATGTATAAAAATGTAATAAGAAGAATCTCAAGAGACAAAGCCGACGTAACATGAATGTTCTTTGGCTAAAGAAGCCTGCTGGAAGCCAGTGGTAGCAACATGAGAGCAGAGACTGTTTCTTTAAACAGTCTGTGGCTGAGACACTGGCTGAACAGAGGAGAAGCTCCACATGCACCGACTACATCCGTACAAAGAAGAGGTATAAATGTCAAAAAGCTCTGTCCATGTTAACAACAAATATCTCAAAATAGAGACAGCTTAACTGAATATGAACTTCATGAAATGACATAGTTTTCCAGTGATTGTTTTGCGACTGATTAAACAAGCAGAAACAAGCAGAAACAAGCTAAGAAAGAAAAAGATTACATACATACGGTCCAACGTATCGTTACAAATGGAGGCGCTGATGTAAAAACACTGATCAACAATACCGAGTGAATATTTCCCCATTGCGCTGCAAATGCAGGCTTTTGCAATACAGTATAGCTTTTGGGCACATCCTGAGTGTATAAATTAGTGAGTAATCGGAACAATAATGCACCTCTTTGTATGGTTCTATGTTTATCCAGGACTAAGTTGCATAGGCAGCACAAAACAAACCACTTCTGAACTCTAGGTTTTGGAGCTGGGGGAACATTCTTGATATGCAGCCATTTATTAAAAAGGAGGAGAAAAACTAAATAGGTCCTTAAATATTTCAGTCAACATTCATTTGAATCAATATCAAAATGTTTTAAGGTTACGCAGTTAAACTAAGGCAGTGGAGCTTCTCAAAAAAATAAATCTTATAACAAAGTATTTACTCAAAGCCCTCTGGGTTTTGGCCACCATTTATGCACAGAATCTTATATTTAAAATTTTAACTGGGAGATTCAACCAACATCAAAAATGGATTTCAAGAGCTTTACCGTGGATGAAATGATGAGGCATTGCAGCTCAAAATAACCGACTATAATTCTATATGCAATCTGTACTTTGAAATGAGGAAAATGCTGAATGGAAATAAAAGCATATGCGAAAACACAAGAGGAAAAAGGTAATACAAAATGTAGTATAATTCTATATAAAATAAAACGTTTGCAGCAGCACATGTCTTGTGTATTGAGCTCCTCCAGAACACTTTCCAAAACACAACTGAAGGCCCAAAGAAACAAGTCGCTACTCGTAGCCGCGACCACAGGAGGGGATGCTGTTGTAAGGGAACACGTTTACTTTTTATTTACCCAAATGGTAAAAAAAAAAATGTTAACCATCAAATATAATTATTCATTTCTTGTTTGCAGTAGTAAAATGTGTGAAAAGTGCCCCCTCTTCCTCCAAGATTAAAAAAACATAGTTGATACTGAACTGGTATGGAAATGGAGAGCATATAACTGGATTTGAAATTAAGTACAATAACGATTCACTGAAAGCCTGCAAGGTGCACTGATCTATTATTTTTGGACTGAATAAATGGGGGACGCTGTAAACTTTCAAATGTGATGTAATGACAGTACCCTGACTCGATCCTAGAATTGTAACCTTTAAACACATGTTGAAATGTGCACTGAACCAGTAGGCAGTTAGCTCAACTTGCTCCCGTCTAAACTAAACAAAGGCATTGATCAGTTAATGCTCTGAATACAGGCTGTGTGCACATGTCCTTAGCACAGCTGACCCCTCCTGCAGGCACTGGTCAGAGGAGAGATGCTGAAGTCTAGGAGGCGGTGACTCCTTCCCACTCCACCAGGTACTGCACCTTTCCATCCAGGGTGACCCGGCGTGCCAGGACTTTGTATTTCTCCCCAACAGCCAGCCGCCCCGCGGCTCCGAAGTAGCTGCTGATGGAGCTCTTCAGGTGGGTCAGCTGGTCCATGCCGTGCACTATGTCAGTGGAGTGAAGCCCCGGCAGCGGGCTCGGCATCTCCGTGGCTGCAGGGTCTAGCTCTGCGTGGCTAGGAGGGGGGGTCTCTGGGTTGGGGGGCTGCAGGGCCCGTCGGGGCCGCCCGCGTTTCCTCTTTAAGGGTGGAGCAGAAACGGGCATAGCACAGGCTGTGGGCCGCGGCTTGCTGGAGCTACAGAGGCTGAAAAGTTGAAGTAACATTTTTAATCTGAGTGTAACTACAAAAACAAAGTATACAGAGGGGCATTACAGAAAAACAAGAATAGATGGAGAGATAAAGGCTAACCTGCTGATGTTGAGCAAGTAATGTTAAGCATATTCTAAATCAGTGGTTCTCAACTGGTCAGGCCTCGGGACCCACTTTTTCCTTAGTCAATACATCGCGAGCCGAAATGTTGAACCACTCAAATCTATTCAACAAAAAATCGTGCAGTAATATATACGCTTTTCAGCAGTGCATATATCCCTTATATCCCTTCACAGAACAAAATAATGCTTTTAAATAAGGTTTCATGAAATGATGGAATCAAAGCTGAACTGTGTAACATAAAAAGGCACACATGCTGAAAACCCAACCCCAGAAAGGGGTCTGGGGGGATTTTCCCCCAGGAGATTTTTTGAAATACTAACAAACTATGCATTCTGGTACACTCTGAGAAGAAAATAAATAAATGTATTACTACCCGACATATTAATAATATTTTATGCTATTGTTTGTTTTTCATTTTATTCTGACAGCTGAACTTGATGCTCCACACAGAGAGAAAAGTAAAGAGGAGATGTCTGTGTGAATTACTTTAAATTGTGGGTAAGGGTAGATAGCCCCCATTGTTCTGTGACCTGTCAATCATCAAACCGGGGGTCATATTTCATTATGTGTTCGTTTCTATCTGAAGTTGTACCCATGGATGTATAAAGAATAGTTCTACCACAAAGTTATTCTCCGTGGGGACTTCCGGCTACATGTTGATTCTGATTGGCCAGAAGACTCGAAAAAACATCAGCAAAGATGTTTTATTGAGAAGATGATCACTACGTGACAGAAGTTTTCAAAACCGTTTATGGTCTCCGGTACTTCCAGTCCAACTGCATGCTAGGGCAGCACGATTTGGGGAAATAATCTAATTGCGATTAGGTCGTATCAACGTGCTCCCGTCTCTAGCACCCCCGCAGCCCGAGCTACGAGTGAAAGAACTAAACTTACATGAAACTTCCGTTGGGTTGCTTTAAAGTCAAGCTTCAGTTTAAGATTCACCCTGTAATAGATGTCAAACATGTGATGGAGCATTACTAACCTGACTCAGATGGTTTGTTTCACCAAACCATCTAGGAAAGCTCCATTGGAAGCCATTTGGAAAGGGCAGGCACTTTCAAAAATACTTGGCAGGTGATTGGATCAATCTGTCTATCACCTTCTATCATGGGCCACTTCTGATTGGTTAACAATGGCTGGTACATGTGGAGCACAGCACTTCTGATTTTTTTTAAATCGCATCATTTTGATTTAAAATCGGTTAATCGTTCAGCCCTACTACATGCACAGCATTAGAAAATCGGGCCTTCAAAAATAAAAGTTTGACTTTTTCCTCCCCCCCAAAAAAAGGATTTTTTTTTCTCCACTCGAAACGGGTCCGCGACACACTTTTGGGTCGCGACCCACCAGTTGAGAACCACTGTTCTAAATCTTACTTAAAAAGGGGCCTATTATGCTCATTTTCAGGATCATATTCGTAGTTTGTGCCTCTTCTGTGACATATTTGCATGCTTTAATGTCAAAAAGCTCTTTATTTTTCACGTACTGCCTACGTTCAGCACCTCTGAGGGATGGGGGATGAAAAATGTTTGGGGATTTTAGCCTAGCAGACCATTTACATGCACAAAAACCTTTGCAACACACTACAGGTAAGGGAAAACCCCAAAAGGATAATAGGGCCTCTTCAAGCATTTGAGTGTGAAGCATGCTTGCGTACATAAACACAAAGAACAGCTTATCATAAATGTCTGTACCAAATCTTATGTAAATCCATAAAATAGTTTTACGCATTTTATTCAAAACACAATGTAAACCTCATGGTTGCTAGACGGATAGTCAGGAGATCCTTAAAGTCATTGGGATTCCTCTTCTGGGAAATAAAATTGTTTATACAAAATCCTGGCAACCAATCCAATAGTTCTTGAGATTTTTCTGTCAGTTGATCAACGACTTTGGTTCAAAGGCGTACCAAATCTCCCCTTCCACAGGCCAATAGAGTGAGGAACGGTTAAATGTAGCAAATGCATAGTAGACGTACCTGGACTGTCTTGAAATGCTAGTTGAGGTAGTTTCTGTGGTGCTCAGGGCTTCTATGGACTCCATATCTGAGGTACTTGAAGACAGCAGAGACCTCTCACTCCTGGTGTTTTGGGGACGGTGAAATGAGAACAGACATGGATAAAAAAGATTTAGACAGAAAAGAAAAATGCTGCTTAATGACACTTTTGATTAATAGGGCTTAATAGTCTGTTAACCAGTCTAAGGAGAGATAATGAATGGACAAAAAATGTGATGAGATTATTTAAAGAAAAAAATCGTTGAGTTTTAGTACAAAACGGGCACCTTTAAGAGGGTACATTAGCTTCACAACTACACAGTGAAGCTGGATGTTTAGGAACAGCACTTCTGCAACATGATTGCTCACTTACTTGATAGAGGTCAAGTGACCCATTGGGTGGGGTTCTAGTGGGAGAGGCTTTCTCACTTCCTGTTTAAGAAAAGAAAAATATATTGTAATTGTGTTTTCTTATATTTAAGTGGTTTCACAACAACTATGTACGCATCATGCTATCACCCACTAATGTAACAAATATATGCGTGCACTCACTTGGGAGAAGAGCTCACTGCGTTGTGGTCCTTGCTTTCTCTTCCTCTTTTTCTTCTTCTCTGTCCCATTGGTAAAACTAGCGCAAGGTCTAGAGCAACACCAACAGTTTCACAAATATTATAAATTACACTAAATATTTGTTTCATGCATTATGAAACAAATTACAAGGTGCATCAAAATGCTGCTTTTTAGAATGTTGCATCTCTTTCTCACTTCATCACATCAGTCAAATTAAAGAGCTTGACTGTTACAACATTTAATGTGAAATGTAGGTTTCCCATTATACCTCATGCCAGGTAGGGCCTTTGTGGAGCTCTCGTGTGAAGCCCTCTCCATCCCTCTGCTGGTTGGCTCATCAGAGTTGGGGGGAGCGGGAGGGAAACGGATCCTCAGCCCGAACAAGTGCTTCTTTTTCTTTACCTCCTTCCCCGACATGAACCTAGAAGAGAGTCAGGGAGAGGGTGATGAAAGGTAGATACCAAAATGTATAGAAGACAAAAAAAGGGTACAAAAATGGTAGTTAAGGAAAAGATAGAGTTGTGCACTTTATGTACAAACTTACAGGCTGTTGTTGTTGTTTAGCGCCTCCAGAACCCTTTCATAACGCGCCGACCTGGGAGTGTTGGCGAGCTGCAGACACGGGGAGGGGAGGTCGCCAAACAGGAAAGGCAGGGTTAAAAAAGAAAAAAAGGTCAATATTTCAGAAAATCAACACCATATGGTTTCAAAAGCTAATTGGCAGCCAGGGATAATAAACAATAATTAACCCTGGTGTCTAGGACAAGCTGAGGCCTGTACAACGAAGCAGGATGTGCAGTTAGCGAGGTAACTTCAGGGTTTACTCTGGGTTTCGGTACTACGACGCTGGATCACTTCTAACCTGGGTAACTGCTCCGGAGCAGGTTATGTGTTCCAGATAAGTATGGTCTCTTATCTGGATAGGTATGTTCCAGATAAGAGATCAACCCTGTGAAAGCACCGCCTGCTGGCCAATCAGAGCCAGAGTTAAAAGCTATCAAGTCATATTACAGGCTCAAGAAAACAGTTCAAAACGGTCAAATGTAGGAAATAAGTCTGGCAAAAATATAATTAAAAAATCATGTCAATTAAAAGAATCATTGCCTATCATCTAGACATAAAAATGCTCACTGCCTTTGCGGTAAGCAAGCTTACTTGAATACCTTGACCATAGACCATATGTCATGTATTATTGCTACTCAAACATTATATTGCAGTTTTAGTGTCGCCAACTCCGTTTCTAATACGCAAAAAGACTGCAAAATGCATCTATGATTATTTTTAGTATTTCCGATCTTTCCAATCCAGTCGAGAGATCTCTCTCTCTCCCCCGCCTGCTTCGGAGGGGGCGGGGCAGTTGACACACACGCAGCAACACACACACACGGAGGAGATGGCGGAGAGCATGCGCTCCGAGGTGTGTTTAAACTTTACCCGTCTCCATGTGGAGAATGCTCATTACCAAAAGTGCAATAAGAGTTTAGCGTGTCAGGGCGGTAACACGAGCAATTTGTCTAAACATTTATCAAAAGTGCACCGCATCCAGACGGAGGAATGCACCGGGTTCGACCGTCTTTCTAGCAGCTCTGTAGCCCCATCCACGTCAGGTGTTATGTATGCTAGCAGCAACACACGGAGTTAACTACATTATACAAACATGGGTTAATGATTAGAGGTAACTGAGTTACTCTTTACTTTGTTAAAGTTTCAGCTATTCTGTTTACAGTTCTGTCATCAGATTATTTAATACGATTTGTTAAAACATTGTTGTTTCTTTTGATGTGAAATATTATGTGTTGGGGAAATATTTTCCAAGGCCCATAACTTTGACCCAGTGTATCAGTTTAAACTGTCCTGACTGAGCACAGGCACCTGTAACCTTGGCTGCTGTGCTCTCAGTGTTTTGTCTCCCTGTTCCTGCCTGTTGGCGTCAGCTGATAGAGGTGTTATCATTCTATCTTGTTATGCAGCATGTTGATGATGCTCTCTGAACTAGCTAAATACATGGGTCTGGGGTAGAGTTCTTCAGAATTGACGTGGCAACTCTACCGTGCAGTCAGATCGTGGCTGCTGTGACTTGTGATGTGAATCCTCCGGCCGAAGCTCCAAATAAACCATCAGTGTTTGACATCAAAGCTCCTGCTCTTCCCGTGTCTCTTTCCTGAGTCGGTGACTCCCACTGCATAGCTGCTACACAGAAGTTTCCCTTACATTATGTATTTAATTTAAAGTGGACATATCATGCTATATTTGAACAATATATTGTAGGGCCATACCTATAGAAATATAGTTTTTTTTTCAAAATACCAAACATCCTGCATTTTAGCCATGCCTCATTTCACTCCATTTGCTCTTTCCTGCCCTGTTTCTGCAGGGGGCTGATTCTGTGAGCTGCAACTGACCACGCCCCCCTGCAGGAGAGGGGAGCCTGAGATCAGCTGCTGGGCGGTCAGAAGAGATCTCCGTCCTCCGTGTTTTATTCTTATAGAAGTAAGAAGAGAAGTAATGGGGCAGAAACCCTCCTTTTTACGCAGCGGCCCAGACATAGACATCAAACGGCGACACATATTCAGTGTGCAGTTACTTTGGCATTAGGGCAGGGATATCTAGATACTTCCCAGGGTCTGACATCATGAATTGTGCTATTTTTAAAGCAAGCAACGATGTTTTCAAATCTGTAATCAAAAAGCTCCTCAAAAACACTATCGAAGCAGTTCCTCCGTTGCTACGTTAGTTCAAACAGTAACAACGGACTATTTTTCTTAGCGGATGCATGTCAATTTAAATCAATACAACTATTTTTTTAAATCAATAAAATCCTTTTCTAAATCCATAAAAGCATTTCAATTAATATTGGGATTCATGTTTGTTGAGAATGTGGCCATGTAATAAGCAGGATAATGTGCAGCGACGCGGTCATTGTGGGGAAAGGAACACCGACAGGCTGATCAGGAGCCCGACGCGAAGCGGAGGGATCTAGATCGGCATGAAGGTGTTATTATCCATACATTATCCCTTACATATGATTATATAGTCATTATTCATTTGTTTTAAAGCAGGAGGCGCAAACGCTTGCCTCGGGGAGGGAGAAAAAGAGCCAGAGCGGAGAATAAACAGAAGGGCATCAAAGCACAGACCAGCCGATTGGTAGGTGCCCATTTACCCCTGAGCTACAGCTCTCCAAAATGGTTACAGTTAATCTTTGGATTTGAGCTTCAAGTGGAGTGATTGTCTACCATTTGTTCTTTAATGTTTGTTTAATACCATACTCACAAAAGAACCTGCAATTTCATCTGTCTTGGCATCATTTATATAGAAATATTTGTCAAGGCACATCCGGGAATTGAACCAATTATCTCTTTTTAGATATACCTCTTAGTCTAAGCTATACAAATACATGATGTCTTTGTGTGTGTTTGTTTGTGTCCAGAGTTGGCTAAAAGTACCTCCCCCAGCTGCAGCAGCTCCCAGTTTTCATTGATGTAACTCATCAGGTGCATCTCAGAGTCAAAGTACTTCTTCTTGTGGATCACGCTCAGGTTGTACAGGCTCAGGTGTGTCACATCCTCCCTGAAACATTTCAGTAAAAGCTGTGTTTTCTTTACTACTTTTAGTTTGGCTACAAAATAATAGTATACAAAGAAAAAGGCAATGTGTCTAGGAAAAGAAAGGTCATTATGAAGGCACAGTGGAAAGGTTAAAGCGTAAAGGAAAACAAGCAAGAGACAATAGCCTAGAACTTAATGATAGAATAAATAAAGGAGCATTTAAAGAAAAAGAGAAGACAGGCCATCACATCCTTGTTTATCTTTGTACCTGTGTCAAAGCTGAACGAACATCTTGAGGTTCACTTACCATCCGAGCGGCAGTCGGCTGATGTACTCTGGGCCACCGTTGCAAACGGAACAAATTAACAGATAAAACCTAAAGTTATACAAACAGAAAAACATGTCAGATTATTATGCTACAGAAATAGTTGGAATGTAATAATTCAAAGGCCTGGGGTTTATGGTTTCCTGTGTTATACAAGCAAAAACACAAGGTAAGCTAGTGTAAACAGAAAAAACATCTCGAAACTAAAAATGGTTGTTTCTTACATATAACTTTAATATTGTTTCATTCTGCAGTAATGCATTATATTGTAGCATGAATTGGAACCTGCCATACAGTGGTGGGGCTCAAGTCAGTATTTGCAATGTAATTACATACACGCTCCCCTTGACAGTGAAACGCCACGCGTGAGGTTTAGATTATTTCCCCGTCTCAATCCAAATTGAGCTGTATGAAATAAAAAGGCACATCTGTCTTGTAGTAAATAAAAAGGGTGACCTGGAGCCAATCCTGCAACTTCCCCACAGGTGAAAGAGTTGACATGCTGAAAACCCAACCCCTGCAGGGGGGTCTGGGGGGATTCTCCCCCAGGAGATTTTTTATACTAACATAAAATACACATTCTGGTACTCTCTGGAGAAGAAAAATAAATACATCTATTACTACACGGCATATTTAAAAAAATGAATGCCATTTTTAGTTTTGTGTTACTTTGTTCTGAAAGCTGAACCTGCTGCTCCTCACAGAGGGAAGAGGGAAGAGGCTGTGAATTACTTTACATTGTGGATAAGGGTGGATAGCCCCCATTGTTCTGTGTGTCAACATGAAAGACAGCCCACACACCTATCAATCATCAAACCGTGGGGTCTTATTTCATTACGTGTTGATTTCTATCATCACGTAATGTTGTATCGATGTATATAGAGATGTACTACAGCAAAAGTATTCTCCGTCGGGACTTCCTGCAACAACACCACGCCGTTATCGTGATTCTGATTGGCCAGAAGACATTATCAAAGATGTTCTATTGAGAAGACGATCACTACGTGACAAAAGTTTTCAAAACCGTTTCTAGTCTTCGGTATTTCCAGACAAGTGGCTACTGAAATCAATCTTACTAACTTCTGTCTGTGCAATTTACTCCGCGCGAGTTGGCGGACTTTATTTTGCTTACTTTAACATCATTGTTCATGGTGGGGCTAAGACATTTCTTGGTATGGGTGTAGCCTACCCCAGCCATACCCTGGCGCCGCCACTGGTGGTTAAACTGTTGACTGAGATCCCTGCCAGCCAATCACAAGTCTTTCCCACCGCTTTTGGTGTGAATATAAATGTTTTTAAGGTGAGACACCCCAGGTGAATAGGGTAATTTTTTTAACTTAAAGGTATCAGCTAGAAATTTCTCCAGTTAATTACTTACAATAAGGCAATTGTTTTTTGTATTACAAGTTTTCTGAAATAGCATGTTTAAATATGCAAATTAGCCCTTATCTCATTAAATATGCACATATTTTAACACATTTCAGGAATCGAAATCTGAACTTTGGATATAGCCAGATTCAAAATTCTTGTTTCATTTTGTAGTCATATTAGTATCTAAGGCTTTTACAGAAGGGATATTGGATATCTCTTTTTATCACTCCATAAATCAGAAAATACTGTCAACAGCCCTAAAATATCAATTTTCGCCATGTTTTTAGGTATACAATGTTGTATAATTCAGGCTATGAATTATATATGAACAAACCCTTCTGTAAAAGCCTTCATAATATTGATAGGAATATAACTGGAAGGTTTGGTGTATGTACGTGCTACTGAAGTTGACATTTCAAACTCAGAGTAGGAGAAAAAACTCATTTTGAGAAAACGACCTTTAAAGATTGCAGTGAGGCGCTAGCTAAACCCTCCTGTTCTTTGGATGACAGCTTGCGCATCGATGCACTCCGTGAAGGTATTTCATGTTCGGGGTCATTTATGTTTTGTATAACCTTGCTTCGTGCAAGTGACAATTGTTGTTGTCTTCTCTGTGAATGTTTTTTTCGCCGTTCTTTTGCCATTTTGAGATTTCAATTTCTAGCGGAAAGCTAACCAGGAAGTGTTTTAGCACACCACGTGACGCATCTGAACGAATCACGTTGTCAGAAATTGACACCAGCCAATGAGATTTTGTTTCTTGGTTTAAGACCCCTTTGTGCTTTCACAATTGGTTGCTGATACAAAGGAAATGACCATATTTGGATCCGATGAGATTGTGCAGGAGAGACACAGCTTTCCAGCGATACCTCTGATGACATGGTGCACACAGCGGTCGCGGTACTTTATGTTACGTTAGAATGCTAACTTTTGGTGAATTTAGGAGAAATCTACAGACGCAAATAGACAAACTATAGTCAAATAAACACTTAAATGTGTATTTTATACGTTTTCCTTCCAAAAGCCTGAAAGAAAACATGTTATGGAATCAAAATAGCACAAAATCTCAAAATTGACTAGTACTTGAAAAACGATGTTTTTGCCTGCCGTGTCTCGCCTTAAACAAGTATGAAACATAAATATAGTGGTGTTCGCACCTGTCTCCATAGAGCATGGGAATCTGTAAGCAATGGAGACAGGCCTCATGGAACCACTGCTGACAGCCGTTACACTGCAGCATCTTCAGGTACCAGCTGCAAGGAATGGACAAAAGAAGAGAGAGAGGGGTTAGCATCAGGATGTGCATCCAATTTATTTTCTAAAAAAGGAACCCCAATTAAACAGATTTCAAAATGCAATTAAAGTAAAAAATAAAAGCCTTTCAACCCATTAATTTCCCTCAATGTTTGATGTTTTCTGAGCCTACAAGATTCTACAATAAAAATGTACAAATAATTAGAAAAAAAAAAAATGTATGAAGGCTCCATTTGAAAAATTCTCCACAAAGAATTCAACGCGGTTTTACAAAGCTTTTGAAAAGGGATACGACTGTACCCTAACCCTAATTAAATATTAGCACATATTTATTTGATCTTGTTAAGGAAATTGGTCCATTTAGACTGTAGAAGTGGAACGGCTTTAAATAAATCATGGCATTTATTTAAAACAGAAAAAACAAAGAAAACAGACATTTAAAAGGTTTCCGATCCTGTTCTGTAATATGTAGTTCTTTACAATAATAATAAATAATAGTGTCTTTCAGCAAATGTTTGATTGTGAATACAAATTAAATAACATGATTTTTCTACAGAGCGCTGCAGCTGCTGTTGGCATGCTGGCAACAATAAGTTAAGAATGATTAGAAATTGTTTACCGAGGTTTTTTTTTATTAAAGTATGTAATGTGTTACTCACTCTCCTGGCCCTCCGCAGTAGCAGTAGCAGTGCTGGATGTTAGTCGTGTGGCCCTGATCCCAGACCAGTTCTTCCAGAGCGTATGGGAGAGTCAGGTGCAGCCCCATGTGCTGCTGCTGCTGCTGAACGCCTTTAGCAGACCCAGCCCTCATGTGTGCACCCCCCCCCTGTGAACCACACAAACAAAAATCATATTTATACAGGCATTAAACTATGTACACAAACTGTTTTTTCCCTGATTATCGAGTTAGGGCTCGAGCTTAAGGACGTCCCGTCGTCGAAAAAAATAGTGTCAGGGAGGATAAAAAATAATTTACACACACACACACACACACACACACACACACACACACACACACACACACACACACACACACACACACACACACACACACACACACACACACACACACACACACACACACACACACACACACACACACACACACACACACACACACACACACACACACACACACACACACACACACACACACACTTTGTGGCTGTCAGCCAGCCATACAGCTGGCTGGGTCTAGCTATGTACTGAGTGTGTGTATTTCGCAGGTTGAGTGATGTACAATGGCATCCCGTGGAGGAATTATGAAATGTTTTACCGTTACATCACAAAAACGCACAGCAGAACCAGACCCTGGAGCGCCGGCCTCTTTATTTACTTACTCCTCTTCATCCCCTATGGGTAATAAGGCTGAGAAGAGAACCCTCCATCGTATTTAGTCCTTAGCAATATCCTGCGCCTCTCCCCATGTAGGGATGGGTACAGAGCCCCGGTATTAAACGGGCCCCGGGCCGGAATTAAAGACAGTGGTAACGTTAAGCTCAGACGTTATCGGACTTTTTATCGGTACTGGGGACATCTAAAAAAATATATATGTCATATGTATTATATCGCAGTTTTAGTTCCACCAACTCCGTTTCTAATATGCAATAAGACTACAACATGCGTCTATGATGTATTTTCGAGCTTTCTAATCCAGACGAGATCTCTCTCTTCCCCGTCTGTGTGCGAGGGGGCGGGGCAGTTTGTAAAGGCCTCCTGACTGTGTTACAGACTGTCATCCTGGTTAGTGGTTACTCTGGGTTCTGTCTTCAGGACAGTATTGGATTTGTTTGTTAATTGGATGGGAATGGATTGGATTCAATATTAGAGTAATTTTCTCGTTTGTGTGTTTGTTCAAATATATTTGGCCTTTGTTTATGTGATTGAATGATTTACTCAAATAAAAAGGTTGATGAATTATCATCTAATGATTTGTATGATGTTTTATTTATGTTAAAGGTCACTTTGAATGATTTTAACTAATGATAATGTAGAAAAACTAACATTTTATATTCGGGACGGTCCACATTAATTTCGGGACGGCTTAGATTGTATTTCGGGACGGTTCCGGGAGGATGGTGAAAAAAGTTAGTCGAGAGCCCTGTATCTAGTACTCTAGTCTCTTATCTTCACATCACAGTTAAAGCAGAGTAAATATTGAGTCTCCCAAAACAACTCAACAAAAGGTATGATGCATTTATACACAAATAAAGAGCTGTACCTTAGGTAAAGAAGTGAGCTCACACTCTGAACAGAGCCACTTGTCATCAGAGTCGATGACAGAGGCATCGATGATGGGAGAGTGGCACAGCTGATGGTAGCCTAAAAGACAAACATCACATTTACATGCAGCAGTCATCTAATGCAGTGGTTCCCAAACGGCGGTACGGGGACCCCTAGGGGTACTTGAGGCGATTACAAGGGTTACCTAGAAAGATTAGAGATTGCAATATATTTTGTGACTAAGGTAACTTCGTCACTGTGAACTGACGGCTTCGGGCATTTTTATACAATTTATACTATTTATTGATGTAGTGTTTATTGTATTTTATTTTGAAATGTGTTCCCCTTTCCCCATGTCTGTTGCCGTTGATTGTGTGCACCTGGTGCCCTGTGTTGTCTCCTCCCCCCTCACCTGTGTCCTGTTGGGTTGATTGGGTTGTGCATTTAGGCTCTGGGGTTTTTCTGTTTGAGGGAGTGTGTGTGAGATCCTGGTGGCGGCTGGTGACTGTGTTCACGTGGGCAGCAGATTGATGCTGTGTCATGTTTATGACGTAATAAATGCCCACACCGGGTTTTATTTTGGACGTTCTGCCTCTGCCTCCTTGCTTGGTCTGGGCCACTCAATTGGCAACTTCACATATTTCCACAAAAAAAAACATTTGAAAATAAATGTCATTAGCCTGGTGTCCTCCACCCAGAACTATCACAGCCTATGAAAGACAAGCAAGCTCAAGTGTCTCATTAAAAGCTCTAGTCCTAACAAAAGATGTTGTGACTGCTAGAAGTCCCGATAGCAATGAATATATTAAATGCTTTGACAATAAATACATACAAAAAATTCATCTGTGGAAGCCGTGGTATTGTAAAAAGCACGACCATCTGAGCCGGCCCGGCTAAAGTAACTGGATGGCCTACCTGCCTGTCAGCCTTCCATCTGGGCACAAACTTATCTCGTGCCCTCATTGGTCATGTGCGCGTTCGTGTGTGTTGGAGGAGGGACTCTGTAAGGAAGTCTGAAGGAAGGGGCAGATTTTTTTTCGGCTGCGTACTTTCAAATTCTAGCGCACTCGAGCTGGGTTCTCCATTCTTACCTACCCTACCTTTAAGGGTGACTTATAAAAGTGATTTAATGTAAGGAGCAGTTGAGTTAAATGTGATTACAAAGGGTTTAACACAAGAACAAATGTGCAGGTTCTTATAGAATGGAAACCAGCCTTAATGACCAGAAGTCAGAATTCAAAAAGGTAGATGAACAAAGAATGGATATGAAGTAAAACATTGGCTCTTAAAGAAATATACAGCTCTGAGAAAAGAGGCCCCTCAATTTGTCTTAAATCTCAATTTCTACATGTATGGCAGCCATTACATTCCAGTGTCTGTTGAATTCCGACAGATAAATGTTCTCAGTAGTTTATAGAATAAAGAAAATGTTAATTTTACTCAAACCTTTAAATAGTCAAATCAGAGAAACTGATAATGCTGCAGTGGTCTCTTGATTTTCCCCAGATCTGTATATTATAATATCAAAGGACTATAACGGCTTTGTTGACTGTTAGGTAAAAAGACCAGAGTCAATTAACTTTACCTTGGCCACACTTGTCACAAATGACAATTTCATTGGGTTCATCGGAAGTTTCATCCTGGCATATAGAGCACACAATGTCGTCGTCCTCATCATCTGCATCATCTTCATCCCCTGAAACAGACAGTGCTAGATGAGACAGAGTAAGGGCTAACAGAGTGCCTGGATTCACTTGTTACAGTTTTTTCTATTGTAGATTATCCTGATTGATCAGCACACCGTTTCTGAAAAACTGTTTCGTGGGTTAATGGGGTATCTTAAACCCAGGTGGTTATTCTGTTGCACCTGTAACCACACCACACAGTGATGGCAGGGTGTAGTGCAACACTGAAATGACTTCTGGGTTTGTGTAGCTATGTAAGAACTTCATCCATCAGAAGTCTTTTAATTGCTGTTGACCTTTTAAAGCTTTAGTCGTAAACTTTTGTCCCTCCCATCTGGCAGTGATAGTTAGGGATGGACAAAAAGGACATGTTTCTAACACAGGGTTCCTGCAGGTTTCACCAACTCAAATTTAAGACTTTTTAAGACCACTTTGAATAGAATTTAAGACCGATTTCACGGCAAGAAAGTATGAAGGAAAATTGCTATGAAAGAAGAAATACGTCCCATATTTACTTACAAAGTAAATGTATTCATGTTCAACATAAGAACGATGTCCACAGCACCTCCGCTTTTAGGGTTGACGTAGACCCAAACGTCACCCGGAGGTCCCCCGATGTTGCGGGAGATGCTGCACTAGCTAACGCTGCATTAGCAAAACAAACGGGTTTGAAGCAGCGGGCTTCAAACACGTTCCCTCCACTGGTTTCAACCAAGCACTAAATTCGATGTTTTCCAACCAAATACGGTTGAACTTACACTTCCCCATATTTATTTGTAAGTAGATTCGAAGATACCTGAGTTTCTGACTGCCGCTAGCTGAAGCTTGGTTGGTTGGTTGCTAGGTTACAAGCTGGGTGTTCTCCGATAAGGGGCCGGGGAAACAAAGTTAGTGATTACTGGTTCCATGTTGATTTATTCAATACAAATTATTGGGGGGAACTGAAAGGCTCTTACCGGTTACTTTGCAGCCCAGACATTTCCCCCAAAAGACATTTAGACGCAATCGCAACACAGAAGTCCCTTTCAAATCCGATCATTTTTAAGACCTTCTAAATCATATTTAAGACCTTTCTTATTTTTTTGTGTATCATATTTAAGGCCTTAAATTCTGATTATCAAATGTAAGACTTTAAGACCCCGTGGGAACCCTGTAACATTAGATGCTGAAGATAACAAAATAAACTAAACGGTCAGAGTAATAATTATTTTTTAATGATATGAGAGAGTGCTCCCTGGGGAGATGCAGCAAGCCCATCTGAAGGTCAGAGTTGCCAGAGACTTAATCAGCATTGTGTGATGAAGCTCTTGTTTAATCATTAAAAAGGTAGGGTAGGTAAGAATGGAGAAACCAGCTCGAGTGCACTAGAATTTGAAACTTCGCAGCCGAAAAAAATCTGCCCCTTCCTTCAGACTTCCTTACAGAGAAAACGAAGAGTGGAACAGGCGAGCAAGTGTGCTTCATATGAGAGGCCCCGCCTTACATTTTCAGTCACAGATTTTGGGAAATTGGTCCGTGCGCAAAGCATTGTGGGCATTTTTAGACCTGAGGATACACATGTGCAGCCTCAACATTTCTCGCTACAAAGGACGCCGGGCTCGGTAGAATTCCAAGTATGCTGGACATTGGAATATAATATATATATATATATATATATATATATATAATAATAATAATAATAATAATAATAATAGTTAAAACTGCGGTCACAGTCGTGCGTGCAGTGATGAGCGGGCCCTCGCGTCTATGCGCCTGTCGGGAAGGGTCGTCCAGGCGTCAAGTCGACAGACACGAGTCCTCCAAAATGAGCCGCTTGTCATTTCTCAGATTTTCACGTCCTCGACTCCTCGGTCCTCCGGCAGCAAACTGTTCCAGTTGTGATAAGTTATTTAAGATGATCAATGTGCATCAGACTTTCTGCCCTTTACCGTTTGTTTACTCACTAATTAAATTACACACTTTATTTGTATGCTTTAGGACATGGGTCGCAATAGGCGGCCCGCGGGCCATTGGTGGCCCGCCAGCAATAATATTTGGCCCGGAAAATTATTTTGAGAATTAAAAAAAAAAAAATTGTTTACAATATCTGACCGACAGTCGCACATCAGGGGTAGACATTAAGGGTAAAAAGCCACTGGCCCGGTTGTATTGTCACTGGCCCCACCATTGTAACCACTGGCCCGGAGCATTCGTCCAAAAAAAATCGACTAATAATGAAGAAAATTAACACATTTGTTGCAATAGTAATTTATGCACCAACTACATTACTACAACATTTGAATCATCAGTTCTTCCTCATTTTCCTCAATTGTTCATATTTGGTTTATTAAAATAATGATATTGTGGTCATTGTTAAAAAATGCTATTATGAGTATTATTATTTGTATAATGCACTTTCTGCCTTCCTGTCATTAGGAGTTAGAAATATAATGCCTATATATTAGATTAGAACCTTCATTATCCTAAACTGCTGGGACATTTCCCTATAGCCAATACCTTTATATTTTCTACTCTTCACTTACTTGTCAGCATAGGTCGGCATTGATGTACAGAGCCGACAGAAGACCTTGTTTATATTGGCATCATATTGAGAGGTGCAGCCAGTGACGCATCCTAAAACCAGGAAGTAAGCTGCTGGTTCCCTCGCCAAAAGCAATGGGATTTCTCCATAGGGTTTTGGAAAATAGCTGGAAATAAGGTCTGTGGAAAACAAACCTGTTTGATAAATGCACGTTTTGTTCAGCCAGATAATATCCACACGTCTACCCTAGTGTTGCACGGTGTACCGATACTTGAAAGGTACCGCGATACCCTGCCGTTAAAAACGGTAGGATTCCTCCGTTTCATTAGTATCGGTACTTTAAGAATGACGGGGAAAAGTACTCCGGTGAGAAAGCGCCGTTTTAATAAGAGCCGTGTGTGTTCAGCGCTCTGCTTCCACTCCGTGCACTGCAGCCGTGCCTGCAGTCCCTCCCCTCTCTCGTGCACGCGGCCATGCGCTAGCTACCAGAGCATGTGAGAAAGCGAGAAGCATGGCTGAAAGTGGGAGTGCAGCTGCCGCTGCGCCTCGGCTTGTTGACAAAAAAGACGCCAGAAGCTACATTTGGAAGTATTTGAGCTATATCTCGGACAGTGAGGGCAAGCCTACGGACACCACGAGGCCTGTCTGTGAGACATGTTTTAGATCCCTGCAAACCAAGGGAGCCAACACATCAGACTTGGCTAAGCACCCCGCCGACCGGAATCCAGAGCTGTTTAAAGAATTTAAAGGTTAGCGAATGTGATAGATAACATAATTACATCATGCTCAATCCCTCAAATCTAAGTCAAACAAGTGTCATTTATTTTGTGACAAACGAACGTTTTCGTAGTTTGACGAGGCAATTAATGGCAATGATAACTGTCTAATATGTCTATCTTTTTAGCTAACTTACCAATCTGGCTAACATCTGCAATATACATTTTGTCAATAATTATTTATATTACTGTACTATTACATGTTAATAAAATATTTTTAAAAAATTATATTTTATAAAACAACAAAGTTGTTTGAGATGATGCTTAATTTTATTTAATACGAATTCTTGTCATTTATTTTGTTTATTGTTCTCATTGTTTAAAAGTTTGTGTTATGGTTCTGGTGTGAAATAAAGCACAATAATTACATTTAAGACTGTTTCCCTTTTTTTTTTTAAAGTATCGAAAAATAAACAGAATTGCAATTCTTGACTTGGTATCGGTATCGAAACCAAAATGTTGGTATCGTGACAACACTAGTCTACCCTACTTTTATAATTTTCGAATCATAAATCTAATCGATAGATTATAAAAGGGTTTTAGGATGCGTCACTGCACCACTAGAAACCAACTCCATCGATCAAGCTGGCTGAAACTTTCTCTCTCTCTTCTTCTCATACTCCCTGTCACTCTCCTTTAACTCCTCCGGTGACTTTCTTTTATTTGAAGATTGTTTTTTGCACGGCGCTTGGCCGGTTACCGCTGGTATTAAAACCATTTTGGCGAATGGTTAGGTGGCGCGATAGTCTGTAGTGAAGGAGCGCGCTCCCGCTCACGGGAGCCTGCTCGCGCTGCGCTCCGCAGCAAACAGCTGTTTGCTTTTCACCCAACAACGACAACCGACTCACGGAACGCTATGTTGTAGCGTTGATAAACGAAACAATTTAACTAAATTGCTAGTCAAAATACCAATACCACAGGAAACATATTTTTGTCAAACAATATTTTTAGTGGCCCGAGCGGGCAAGTGGAAAGTACGTTATGCTGGCCCGGGGTGTCTAAATAGTGCTTCTGGGCCAGCGGGCCATTTATAATGTCGAGCCCTGCACATATAGGCTATAATGTCCGAATAGAGAATCTACCTACACCTGAAGAATGCTTATTCTACTTTTATCCATGGTGAGTGAATGACACACAGCACAGGCACAATCTGGCAGCGGGGTGCACTGATGCTGATAGTGGATCAATAAGTAGGTGGACAGCACGTGGTGCTGAAATAGCCAACATGCGGTTTGAAAAAAATAACACCAGCTCACTAAATCATTCAAACGTAATGTTTACTTATATGTGAACAGTAACAAAGTTCAGTCAAAACATTGACAACAAAATCGGAGAAGCCACTTGATCATGGAGCGCGAGGGGTGGTGGTGCATATGCTGCCAACCCAGTTGCCAATCCCAAATGTCCGAGTGTAAGTGAATGCAGCACAAGACGCGAGCCTTGTAACCCCATCCCCCGGCGCGAGCATGGAAATGTGATTGTCATTTGAACGGGACGGCGCAAAACGAGAAGAATTCGGTCTACAATCAATGACAGAGAAGAGACTGTCAAGTTTGGCTGTACTCAGCATTGATTCAAAACGCACTAAAGCTTTGGATCTTAATACGTTTGTGAGCAGGAGCGGATTGGCCATCTGTAGAATCACAGAACGCAACGCACCGCAGCGAGGCTCCCCCCCGTTGACAGTCCACTAGCGCACACACACACACACCCC